TCTATATAAACAATGACAGGTTTTTAGGTCACCTTAGCTTTGCTCAAGTCACCTATTCTAATCGCTTTCCTTCCGTCGTGCGTAAACTTTTTACATTTTCAACTTCTTCTCAAGAACCAGTGGATGGATTTTTTTCAAACTTGGTCAGAATCATCCTTGGTAGATCAGGCTACAAAATTGTAAAATTGGGATTCCTACCCCAATTATTTTTACTTCGTAAGAATTATCCTTGGAGGAAGATGGTTTCAAATTGTAAAATTGAGATTCCTACCCCAACCGCTGGGGCCATGGCGGGGCCCCAAAGGGAAAATTAACTAATATTTCAAAAATCTTCTTCTCCAGACTCAAGAGGTACTACATTCAATTTCAGTGCATTAAAAGAAAGATCTTCAGGGGCTTTATTGAAATTGTAAATTTCAGGACCACCGAGCTATCCGTTCTCCCTTGGGGAGGGGGTAAAATTTACTATAGTTTATATAGGGAAATAACACTTTTGGGTATATTTTATCCATTTTCAGCAGAAAATACTCAAACTTAGTCAGAATCATCTTTGGTCAATGAGGGTATTACATTGTAAAATTGGGATTCCTGCCCAATCCCCAAGGGCTAGGGCGGGGCCCCAAAGGGAACATTTACCAATATTTTCAAATTCTTATCCTTTGATGACATGACAAGTATTGTATTTCACTTAGTTTACATGCTGATTTCCACATCACATCTAAACAATAAAATAAAGCTACCAGTACCTATGATATAACTCAGGTGACCACTAAGGCCATTCGGCCTCCTGTTTAATTTTGTCCACTTGGAAAGATCTTGTAATTTGGGGGCTCTCGCTCTGTTACTTCACATTTACATTTGTATCTGAAACCTTCGTTCGATTTGGACATGTAATTCGGGGAATTATACCCCCAATTCATTATATGCTTGTTGTTGTTTTTTTATTTTTACAATCATAACCAGTTTGTGTGCCTGCTGGGGAGCACCCCCTTTAAGTCACGTACATTTCTTAATCCTGGTTTGCTTTTTGGTAATCTAACATAGTTTTAGGGTAGGTGACTATAGGGCGTGCTTAGCTAGTCCGAGTATAACTGTGTAAGTGCCTGTTGGGGATCGCCCTGTAAACCATGTTCTTACTTATACTTTGAACACTCAGGCACCGGGGTCGCTCGATGCCTGTTTGCAGGGCCGCCTGTTAGCTACTCGCTCCACAGCTTGGGATCGCTCAAGCCTTGGGGATCACCCCACAACTTATTTTAGTCACCAGCTTGAGATCGCTCAAGCCGGGGATCGCCCCACTCTTCTTTTAAGTTAAGTGTGTTGTTTTAATTTCCTTTTGCTGTAAATAGATATGTTTGTAACCAACTATGTTGTAGTTAGTTTAAGTAACAGAGAGCAGCCCCTAAGAATGCCAAAAGATAATTAATATAACCTGAACAAGTTACTTTAAATTTAGACTCAATACATTTTTGAACTTTAATTCTTTGTTTTGTTGTGTATAAATAATTACTGGTAGTTCTGACCAGGTAGCCTCATTGATACCTGAATCACCTCAGTGTACTGGATCGTTAAAACATGTATCTGTTTACAACTGTTTGGTAGTAACATGCCCAGTTAATCTTGTCTTATAATCATAAGCATTGTTGTGTCGATGCATTCCGGAGCTGAATAAGGTCTACCAGCTAGCTACAATTCCCTTTATAATTCCTAGGTGTTACACAAACAATAACTTGTGGTCATGCTTAGTAGCTATTTAAAACCTAAATATATAATTCCCTAATTTCCTGAGCTCTTTTACTGAATATTTACATTTATGCATTTACGATTAGACACTGGGGTTTTTATGGCTACAGAAGGTCAGTATACATGTATATATCTATATGTACATGTAGGTCTCATAAGAACCTTGGCCCTCAACTTCACTCACTAACAGAATCCGAACAAACATATGTTGGTTGGGAGCGTATTACTTAAATAGATATATTCGGTCTTTGCGTATTGCAGAGTTTATCTTCTCTTGAGAGCAGGTAATGATTGTTACGTCATTGGTTCGTGTGAGAAAATTACGTCGTTTTCTCAAAAATTGATGATGACGTAACAATCAATACCTGCTCTCAAGAGAAGAGAACTCTGCAATACGCAAAGACGGAATATGGGCAATGAAGTAATAACAACAGTGTCGTTGTCCTTATAACTTCTTTGCCCACGTATATATTTTGCATATATAAAAAACAAATGACAAGAGTTTCTTAGTATATTACCTCCCTAGCGCTTTCACCTCTTTAGAAGTATATATATATACCTTTATTGGTCAAGTCAGTTAAAGCTGTTCAACAAAATAATCCCTTGTACATGTTAATACCCCGTATTCTTTTATCAGGTCTGAGTGTTTCATCTAATCCTTCAACACAATTTTGCAATTTGCTCATGACATGTGTATATTATAGCAATTTTTTTAGAATTTTTTAGAAAGGTTATTCAATTATTTTGACTTAACCAAATTACTATTAAAGCCCAGGGCGATAATTGGAATGAATATGGTATGTTAATCTTGTGTCTGATAAGAGTTTATCTGTAATTCATTCATAAAGTAATACCTGTTTAACACTAGGAATTATACATCTTATATAACATAACGCTTAGTTTAACACATACACATCTAATGGAAAGAGATTATTAAAATAAAGATATATTTTCTAGATGATTCCTATGGAATATTTCTGAAAAGACTTGATAATCCCATTCCACCAGCTTGTGTATTAATGGTCTTAACACTCATAAGGTGGTGTATCAGAGAGTAAAACATGGGCATACATGTTCTTATCTCACACCTGTGAGTGTGTATCATTACTACCAGGGACCCTGAATTATCAGTCTTATCCCTAATCCTTACAAAACCTTAATTTACAAATGTACAATGTGTCGGGTACACGTAGCTTAAATCTTTATTCAGTGAAAGTATTATGTGGTTGGTAGAATATAAATTAATTCTAACAAAATCACAGAACATCATTAATGTTAAGTTTGTTTTGAACTCAAGCAAAGGGTGCAAATGACCTGAGTGGCTTGACTCTAAACTGCTCATTCTGAATCACAGGTATGAATTGTAAGGTAGCATACACCCTTAACATCAACACAAATTAAGGTGTAATTCCTAAGGTACATACACCCTTAACATTAACACAAATTACAGGTATAATTTGTAAGGTAGCATACACCCTTAACAATAACACAAATTACAGGTATAATTTGTAAGGTACATACACCCTTAACATAAACACAAATTACAAGTATAATTTGTAAGGTAGCGTACACCCTTAACATTAACACAAATTACAGGGATAATTTGTAAGGTAGCATACACCCTTAACATTAACACAAATTACAGGGATAATTTGTAAGGTAGCATACACCCTTAACAATAACACAAATTACAGGTATAATTTCTAAGGTACATACACCCTTAACATAAACACAAATTACAAGTATAATTTGTAAGGTAGCTTACACCCTTAACATTAACACAAATTACAGGTGTAATTTGTAAGGTAGCATACACCCTTAACATTAACGCAAATTACAGGTATAATTTGTAAGGTAGCACACACCCTTAACACCAACACAGATTATGGTGTAATTTGTAAGCTAGCATACACCCTTCACACCAACACAGATTATGGTGTAATTTGTAAGGTTGCATTCACCCTCATCGCCAACACAGATTATGGTGTAATTTGTAAGGTAGCATACGCCCTTAACACCAACACAGATTATGGTGTAATTTGTAAGCTAGCATACACCCTTCACACCAACACAGATTATGGTGCAATTTGTAAGGTAGCATACACCCTTAACATTAACACAAATTACAGGGATAATTTGTAAGGTAGCATACACCCTTAACACCAACACAGATTATGTTGTAATTTGTAAGGTAGCATACACCCTTAACATTAACACAAATTACAGGTGTAATTTGTAAGGTAGCATACACCCTTAACATTAACACAAATTACAGGTATAATTTGTAAGGTAGCATACACCCTTAACACCAACACAAATTATGGTGTAATTTGTAAGGTAGCATACACCCTTAACACCAACACAGATTATGGTGTAATTTGTAAGGTAGCGTTACCTTAATACAAATCTTAGGTGTCATGTAAGGTGACATATTACCTTAATACAAATCTTAGGTGAAATGTAAGGTGACATATTACCTTAATACAAATCTTAGGTGTCATGTAAGCTGACATATTACCTTAATACAAATCTTAGGTGTCATGTAAGCTGACATATTACCTTAATACAAATCTTAGGTGTCATGTAAGCTGACATATTACCTTAATACAAATCTTAGGTGTCATGTAAGCTGACATATTACCTTAACTCTAAGACAAATCACAGGTATAATATGCAACTTTCACACAAATCATAGGAATGGGATAGCAGGGAAATGTACATGTATACCTACTTTTTGACATCATCAGATGGCCTGTAATTTGATCTGGTGTGTTGATTCATGGTGCCCATTGATAATGTATCACATGTGTCATCACTTATAACCATCCATTTGTCACTATAAGGTTAATAGATTGGTGACTTGTTTAAGGTAAAAGACTGCTAATCAGACAGAGTGTCAGTTGAGTATCGAGTAATCTGAATCTACAAGTTTTAATAGCAATAACATGATCATCAGTGACATATCCACTTTCTTCCAGGTCAGCTCTTCATAAGGCAAATATTGGAAAATAAAAAAAATTATATACATGTTCATGTACAGTAGTTTATAACATAATATTTGAATTCATACATGTATCTGGTCATCCTAAGTCCATGTAAATACATTGTCGGCTGTAGTTGTACTGTTTCTCCTAGATGGTCTATTTCATTTGTTTCCCATTATTTCCATTTGATTTTCACCTTGACCTACCACTTTGTACAGACATTTTTTGTTAAAACAGGTTAATTTATAATACTATTGATTGTACACATTGCAGGTGTCTGCTCCGGCACTGATTGTGGCGGCGGTGGTCTGGTGCAGCATGGTGTGTCTCAGCCGTCTCTACCTCGGAGTTCACTCAGTACTGGTGAGTTGTCTGCCCTTGTTGTAAATTTAATTTTTAAGGTAATTGCCTAAAGGTAAGTGAGCCTAAACCAGAGTGCAAGGCCTAGCAGTTGTCTTTTTGTCAGTCCATCCTCACTGTTAAAAAATTATTCTGAATAATTTTACCAAGATGCTGAGGGTCGTAATATTTGGTCTTTATCATGTTGGAATGAATTCTTTCATATTTATTCAAATATGTGACCTTGACCTATTTCTAGGTCACAGATGTCAAATGTGTAATGACCCATTTAACAGCTTAAGAATGATTAAACCAAGAGTCCTTAGGTTGTGATATTTTGCCTGTAACTTGGGATCTGAATGAATGTCAATCAGACTCCCAGGAAGAATTTCATTTTTTTTTTTTTATTTTTTTTTTCATAACGCTGGGAAACAGTCTTTTCAAAATGCAAGACTGTATGAAACATCTGATATAAGTACTATCTTTTGTAAAGAAAGAAGACCAGAATAGAGTATGTTTCCCCATCTTCCAAGGCCAAGCTTAAAGGGCACTAATTACAGCAAATATGCTATATATAGAAACCTTGGGGCAAAAAGTTTTCATATGTGAAGTTTTTCCTCACAGGAAAATGCTTAATATATGCATAAAATGTACATTCATAGAATTTCAATAGCTAACATTTTTTTAAATCTACAATCTTGGAAATGAAATTTTGGTTTGGTGCTTTTAGCTCATTATCACACATTTCAATATTATCAGGCATAGATGTGAACTTCAGTTTAAAGGACTAGGGGCTTTAAGGGCCATTTCCGGCCTCATCAGGGATTTAGAATTAGTTGTTATATTCGTAATCTGGAATTAATGAAGTAAGAAATATGAAATTTCAAATTCATTTGACAATTGGTTTAGGAGATATTGCATTTCAAAGAGAGATGTTTAAACCTGCATTTTCATAATAAAACGCCTGAATATCGTCTGTTGTGTGCTATTTGGTTGAAACTTTACCATTTTGAAGGAAATTAACGAAACGCTCTTTAATTTGTGAAAGCCTCCACATGCAACAAACAAATAAATATTTGACATGCTTAAACGTTGTCACACCAGTGTTCATTCGTAGAAAGGAAGGTTTGTTTGTCACAGGCGGAGGCTTTTATTTCTGCATGCTTACTGTTCAAAAACACCATATTTTGGCTATATCTGCATAGCAACACAATTTTGTTGCTATGGTAGGGCATCTAAGCATGCGCATTGGAAAATTATGTTCACCAAGAAAGATAGCCCCAGTGAACCAATATGATATTTATAACAGTAATTGGTAAATAAATTCAAGTTGAACTTTTCCATTACCAGTGCATGGGTGTACAGATAAGCTTAGTGGTTGTTTATGATGTGAAATCACACATTTATATACATATACTCATGAAACAGAATTTAAGCTTAATTAATCTATCTTCAGAATTTATGTTTTAAAACCAATTTACATGTGACAATCTGCGGGGTAAGAGCAAATTGGGTAAAAAGTTAACTTATTAATGGCCAGAATTTACTAACGGCATGGTAACAGTATAAATATTAAGTCTAATAGTCTAATTAGATTTTCAGATGTGGAACTTAATCATCCATCACATGTGTAAGTTATGCAATGTTTACACTTCTTGTATGAAGCAACTGCAGGGTAAAATTAGGTATATGGGTTTATTGTCCCCAGTGTCCCGGACAGATCCAGTTGTCAGTTTCTTCATCACCCTATAGAGTTCTGCTTTTTTTCAATTCTACACATTGGATTTTGACCACATATAGCTAGCCAGCAAGTTGGCAATTACAACCCTGAAATTTCATAATAAACTATTCTAACCTTTGAATCAGAAGAGTTCAAATATGTCTTTAGGGGTGAATGAGTTAAACTGAAACTTTTTAACTTCAGAAGAATTGTTGTCAACCTGTCAAATTGAATCTTCTAACAAAATTATCACATAAATTTCAGATTTTCAATGAACAAATCATTGATTTCAACCAATTCTCACCATACGTAATAGGCTGTTGTGTTGGCATATTTCTTTATATCTCTGAAATAATTTGCAAAGTTTCAAAATCTAGCAGATGCATAAAAAAGAAGTTTTTGAAAAATTTGGTAATTCATGGCTATTTCAATTTTGTACTGTGATTATGATTCAATATTCCTGTTTGTAATGCAAAATATGTGATTTCTGGTTTATGTGACAGTCCTTTGTATGGTGTTCATAAGTGCAATGTTACATACAAGCACCGAGGCAGGGTGGGAACTGGCATCGATTTCACGAACGTCCTTGGTAGTACTGTTATACATAGACATTATTAAACCAGCAATTTAAGCTATAAAATATGCTGTTTGGTCTTCAAGGCCAATACTATGGCTGAATAAGATATAGACAATCATAACCGGAGTTACACGATGTACAGCCAAATTCAATAAATGGATATTGAATTACCTGGTTGATCCCTTTATGGTAGACACTGCGGGAGACTTGTATTCTTCAGATTATATCATCATGGCTGGCATAAAACAATTTCCACTGAGAATCGAATACTGGAACAATTGCCAGTCACTACAGCTCGTTATAAAACCCTGTCAAAGTGTAAGTAGTCTAAGGTAGGACGGTACTCACTGTCTCCAGAGGCCGTCACACCGTAAGTAGTCTAAGGTAGGACGGTACTCACTGTCTCCAGAGGAAAGCATTTCTAGTACACCAAAATATATAACTGTTGTGTTGGAGCCAGTCTGGGACCATACAAATAAGTGGAGCTCATTTAAGTTTAGAATTTTCAATATAACGATGCAGGTTAAGGACATCAATTACCGGGTACACAGTTTAATTTCCTAAGGAACACTATATACAGTATCATGTTTTGATACTCTTTGACACACTATACCATATTTGTATCCCCCAAGGAACACTATATAAAGTAATTTAGTCCCTTGGACACATGATGATAAAATTTAATCCCTTCTGACAAATCATACCATACTTAAATCTTCTTTGATACATCATACCAAGTATTAATCCCTTAGATACACCATACCATATCCCTTAGATACACCATACCATATCCCTTAGATACACCATACCGTATCCCTTAGATACACCATACCGTATCCCTTAGACACACCATACCGTATCCCTTAGACACACCATACCGTATCCCTTAGACACACCATACCGTATCCCTTAGACACACCATACCGTATCCCTTAGACACACCATACCGTATCCCTTAGACACACCATACCGTATCCCTTAGACACACCATACCGTATCCCTTAGACACACCATACCGTATCCCTTAGACACACCATACCGTATCCCTTAGACACACCATACCGTATCCCTTAGACACACCATACTGTATTTCTTAGATACACCATACTGTATCCCTTAGACACACCATACCGTATCTCTTAGATACACCATACCATATCCCTTAGATACACCATACCGTATCCCTTAGATACACCATACTGTATCCCTTATTTACACCATACTGTATCCCTTAGATACACCATACCGTATCCCTTAGATTCACCATACCATATCAGGTCTTAGATACACCATACCGTATCCCTTAGATTCACCATACCGTATCCCTTAGATACACCATACCGTATCCCTTAGATACACCATACCGTATCAGGTCTTAGATACACCATACCGTATCCCTTAGATACACCATACCGTATCCCTTCGATACACCATACCGTATCCCTTAGATACACCATACTGTATCTAAGGGATACAGTATGGTGTATCTAAGGGATACGGTATGGTGAATCTAAGGGATACGGTATCCCTTAGATACACCATACCGTATCCCTTAGATACACCATACTGTATCCCTTAGATACACCATACCGTATCAGGTCTTAGATACACCATACCGTATCCCTTAGATACACCATACTGTATCCCTTAGATACACCATACCATATCCCTTAGATACACCATACCATATCAGGTCTTAGATACACCATACTGTATCCATTAGACACACCATACCATATCCCTTAGATCCACCATACCATATTCCTTAGATACACCATACCGTATCCCTTAGATACACCATACCGTATCCCTTAGATACACCATACCGTATCCCTTATAGACACACCATACTGTATCTCTTAGATACACCATACCGTATCCCTTAGATACACCATACCGTATCCCTTAGATACACCATACCATATCCCTTAGATACACCATACCATATCCCTTAGATACGCCATACCATATCAGGTCTTAGATACACCATACTGTATCCATTAGACACATCATACAATATCCCTTAGATCCACCATACCATATTCCTTAGATCTACCATACTGTATCCCTTAGATACACCATACCGTATCCCTTAGATTCACCATATCATATCCCTAAGATACATTATACCAATTATTAATTCCTGAGACACACCATACCAAGTATTAATCCCTTAGACACACCATACCAAGTTTTGATCCCTTAGACACACCATACCATATCCCTTAGACACACCATACCAACTTTTAATCCCCTAAGGAACACCATTCCAAGTTTTAAGATTCCTTTAAGTTAAATTGTCCACACTTTATATATATATTAATTCAATAGCCTGATGCACAAAGATTGTATGTATACCCCAGTAAAGTATATAGGAATATTAAACACTCAGTCACGATATCACTTAAAAATTCACACACCGCATTACCGGTATGTGAATTGAGTTAAGAGTGAAAAGGTTCTTTAATTCTTCCCGTTGCACCGTGTTTTCTAAGATCAAAACCCAGCACACTTTCAGAGTTATAAGTGGCATTGTGAAAGTGTGAAGATTAATGGATGCTATTCAGAAGGAAAATATTGATTGATTTAGATTTATAGTGATTACATTTACACATTGTCTCTCGACAATAGCGATTTCAGAGGTGTCCCCCGTCATAACTGTTGATGAAAGCTGAGCATGATTCTAACAGCTTCTTGATGACAAGATTTCCCGAGTTGTATAGATAAATGAGTTCAAGGAAGATCGTGTCGAATAGTAATGCCCGACAGGGACATTTTATGTTTGATCCTAATCTGTGTACGTGTTTAGGTCAGACAATAAATAGGAGATCAATTAAATAACAAAACAATGAAAATGTTAAGAATCTCCGTACCACTGCCAAAACGTGTAAGTGTTCATGCAGACTGGGATCATTATACTGTCACTCTGATCAACTGGGCGGCTGCATGGGCAATGTGTGATCTTACAGGCTTAGTCACGCTACAGCTGTACTCAAAATAAAATAATGGGAAATTTAATCATACATGCATGAAAAATTAAAGTGGATTTCTTTAAAGTGCTTTGCGTGCAGTGGGGCAGGGATCCTTAAGGAGATGTGTTTTGTCTGTAGTGGGGCAGGGATCCTTAAGGAGACACGTTTTGTGTAGTGGGGCAGGCCTGATCCTTAAGGAGACGTGTTTTGTCTGTAGTGTGGCAGGGATCCTTAAGGAGACATGTTTTGTCTGTAGTGGGGCAGGGATCCTTAAGATCTGATTGTATTGATGCAGTGCGTACGTGCTAAGCAGTACTGATGTCAAATACTGGGACTGTACCATGTATGGCTGTGTTGACCGAGTGTGGAAAAACCTTGAAATTGTGGTCGGGTTACATTGCGTAATACATTATGGCCATGCACCGAAGCATTTACAAGTTATATTACGTAATACATTGTGGCCATGCACCGAAGCATTGCGGTGTCAGCTAGACACCCAACTAACAGTTTAAGTACTGTACATTGCACACGAATGTTGGAGGAAACATAAGAAGGTCCTCTTGAAGAATTCTGGATTTTACTGACTGTCCTCTGCTTAAAGAACATATGAATGAGAAATGAGAAACCAAAATGTTTCTGCTGTCTTAATTCCTACTGTTGGGTCTACGATCATTCTTTTCTCTTGTACTTATTATCCCCTCGCAAAAAAGTTCGAGGGGATAAAGGATACAGCCCCTACGTATGTACATATGTTACACTCCTAATTGTTATCGCTCAACCAACTTTATTCCTCGACAGAATTTCAATAAACTTCATACAAGTGTTAGGTATGGCAATGCCTTGAACAAGTTCGCATTTGGAGTTTCTATGTTGAAGGTCAAGGTCTATGTTACTATCTTTAGAAAACTTTGTCATCGTTCTACCGACTTCATTACTCAACGGAATTCCATGAAACTTGATACAAGTGTTTTTAGTATTACAGTTCCTTGAACAATTTTGCGTTTTGGACGAACTGGACAAGGTCAAGGTCACCTTAACTATTTTTAGAAAATATTTGTCATCATCCTATTGACTACATTCCTGGTTACTGTGTTAAAGGTCAACTTCACAGGTCACCCCTACTATTTTTAGAAAAACTTTGTCACCACCCTATTGACTACATTCCTTAACGGAGTAAAGATCTATTGTCCTTCAATGAATGCAGGCGCTAGAGCAAATACTGATACATCTTTGAAATATCTACTCATTTCTTCCTACATTTGTCACACAATGTGTGAATGCAAGGGGATTTGTGTCACTTATGATGCCTTGTTGACGCCATATTAATATTTTTGCTGTAGGATATCCTCGCTGGAGTGGTCTTTTCCTTGGTTGTGATTGTGCTGACGACCCCGTATGTTGCTGATTTCGACTGGTACCAGCAGACACACCCCTTCGCTCCATTGGTCATCTTCATCAGCAGTCTGGCCATGTGTACAGTGTTCTACCCAAGCAGTAAGACTGGGGACGTTTACACATATAACACACGTGGTGACGCCGTGCAGATCGTGGCTGTGCTCGCCGGTGTCGGCCTTGGTGCCTGGACCAATCTCCATCTGGGTTTCACCAATGTCGATGACAACAAAACAGATTTGCTTTATGAAGTTGAACTACCTACGTTGAAAATATTTGCAATATCTGTCCTGCGCTTCTTTGTCGGCACAGTGATTCTTTTTACTATGCAATACTTGCTTAAGAGCCCCCTCGTTAGATTTTTTTCGTATATGCTAGGTCTAGAAAAGCCAGAAAAGAAGAACCCTCAGGTTGAGGTCGGGTACAAATTTGTCATGTTCTACTGCTTGGGAATGGCTATATCTTTTTTTATACCTTTTGTTCACTGTATGTTTGGTTTGGATCGACCCGCATTTTATGCCGAGGTTGTGTAAAGGTTGTATACACTTCAAAGTCATTTGAAATGTTAAATGAAAACAAAACCATGAAACTGTTCTTCATGTCTATAACCTTTACTGGTATGTGCAAAGATTTACCATGCAATTAAATTATTCCGTGTTGCTGCAGTGATATATGGTGTTTGTGGCAGTAAATATGATGTTTGTGAAGTAAATATGATGTTTGTGAAGTAAATATGATGTTTGTGAAGTAAATATGATGTTTATGGCAGTAAATGTGATGTTTGTGGCAGTAAATATGATGTTTGAGGCAGTAAATGTGATGTTTGTGGCAGTAAATGTGATGTTTGTGGCAGTAAATATGATGTGTGTGGCAGTAAATATGATGTTTGTGGCAGTAAATATGATGTTTGTGGCAGTAAATAAGAGATGATCAGTGATTGTGCTTTTAATTACTAAAGTATGGAATTCTTTAGAACGGAATTAAATATTTCAGTTATGTAATTATGTCACTAAGAGATTGTTCTAAACCTGCAAAAAAAGTTTTCGCCATATAAATCTTTTTCAAACATTTTCTCAACAAAATGCATTTTGATAAATAAATAAACACATAAACAGATACATATCATTCTTGATAAACAAAGAATATTTTTGTTGTTGGCCTTGAATTGCTGAACTGCCTAACTCAGATATTCATCTGAACCTATTTCCTGAAATATTTTTTTTTAAAACAAACTTCTTAAAAGCTTCAGATTTTTGTTCAGTGATAAAAGAGATTGTTCCAGATAATTTAAAGTGTCAGGATAAAGTCCCAGAACGACAGATTCCCCATCCTGACACTACACATTCATATGAAAAGTGATGCAAATTTAACTATGATCAACTTTCTTTTTAACTTTTTCCTTTGAAATAATACAGACATCTATGGATTTTCCCATAAACATCAGAGATAGTGTCCAATTTCTCTTTGTACAGATATATATGTTCAGTTGAAATTTAAAGTAATCGGAGAAAAAAAATATGTGTATCAATATATTCAGTTAAATTATTTTTCCTTTCTCTTTCAATTTTCATATCATGAAGAAACTATTTCATTATAAACAATTATTGAGATATGTCCTTCAGTCTTTTGAACTTGGTAACATCGTAGTGCACTGGAGTTAACATGGTAGTGCACTTCAATGTTTTAAATTGTCTATTGCACTTCCCTGTTCACTACATGTGGACTACAAAGTGCACTAGATATCCAGTTATGTTTGCTCCCAGCTGTAGATATTAAACCTCACAATACAAGGCCTTAATAGTTGTTTTTTCTAGTATGTCATAGTTGAGAGATGTTAGAGACTATTTAACTGTTGTGTATTAATGTCCCTGTGACATCACGGCCTAGGGACAACTTATTTAACTGTTGTGTATTAATGCCCCTGTGACATCACGGCCTTAAAGGATCACTTATTTAACTGTTGTGTATTAATGTCCCTGTGACATCATGGCCTAGGGACCACTTATTTAACTGTTGTGTGTTAATGGCCCTGTGACATCACGGCCTAGGGACCACTTATTTAACTGTTGTGTATTAATGTCCCTGTGACATCATGGCCTAGGGACCACTTATTTAACTGTTGTGTGTTAATGTCCCTGTGACATCACGGCCTAGGGACCACTTATTTAACTGTTGTGTATTAATGTCCCTGTGACATCACGGCCTTAAAGGATCACTTATTTAACTGTTGTGTATTAATGTCCCTGTGACATCACGGCCTAGGGACAACTTATTTAACTGTTGTGTATTAATGTCCCTGTGACTTCACGGCCTAGGGACCACTTATTTAACTGTTGTGTATTAATGTCCCCGTGACTTCACGGCCTAGGGACCACTTATTTAACTGTTGTGTATTAATGTCCCTGTGACATCACGACCTAGGGACCACTTATTTAACTGTTTTGTATTAATGTCCCTGTGACATCACGGCCTTAAAGGACCACTTATTTAACTGTTGTGTATTAATGTCCCTGTGACATCACGGCGTTAAAGGACCACTTGATTGCCAATTACATTTGATTATGTACTGTCATGTGTCAATTTCTTTAATTTTGACACAAAATTTCAATGTGTTAGATATATATATATATATATATATTTGTATATCAGCTTTACATATCATGTATATCAATAAACTTACAAATGTATATGGTAGCTATATATTTAATGTACCCTTATTTTATTCTTTCTTCATAAAAGCAAGTCATCTGTCTATCCCCACTTTTCTCTTGACTTCCCTGCTAAGGGAGTTAGTCTTCTTTCAACCATGTGTTAGTCCAGAAACAAAACACCCCTACAGACTAACTCCCTTAGGAGTTTCCAAGGGAGCAGACTTGCCCCATGAGCAATATCTGTATCTTCAGGGGTAGATGAGTAAATCTTGAAGAGGAAGACACATTTGAAGTCTTCTAATTCAAAGATTGGACTAGTTCATTATGAAATTTCAGGGGTGAATGAGTTAATGGGTCAATCAGGTTAGAGATGGTCGGAACTTGTAATGATCTAACCCCACCAAGTAGATATGACCCTCCAGGTTGTGGGGATTATTGCTTTTGAATGATGTCTTTGAGTTTTGTATGGGTGTAATAATCTACTTTTTATTGGCCCCAATTACCTCTTCTGTGTTGATTGGCCGTTAAGAATGCAATAATAAAAAACATGTGTTTAATAAAACAGTCAAAATTATAGTGTGATCGCCTTGACCAGGCCTGTATTCTTCTGTGTTGACTTGGTATAGAACTGGTCTCGAGGAACCAGATTTTTTTTTTTTATTATTATTATTATCATAATAAAAAACAAATCTAATTTTTACATTAATTAGTATACAATACAGTTACAATATATACATAACATGACATAAAACAAACATATATAAAGACACACACACACTCATTCATTATCATACAAATACCAATACAATTGAAAATTTGTATTATATTTTGAATTTCTTTGTAAGTTAGCTGTCAGTGTGAGCGTAATCAATATTTACATTTACTCAATTTAACAATTATATACAATAAATTGATAAGTTACTTATGGTAAATCAGTCATAATTTCAAGTTTGGGTGTTTCAAAACAAATTTTGCCATTTGGCCCATTCTCTTTGAAACTGGTTTAAGTAGCTTTCTCCCTTAATTCTAGCAATGTTTTTTTGAGGTGTATATGTATCTTTTAGTGTATTTTTTCAGGGCAATAATGCAGAGTTCATTCTTCAGGCACCTTGATCTATAGATATATTGTTTTATTGTGAAGATGATCATATTATTCACTATTCTGTTTATTCCATTCTGACAATAAGGAACCAGAAAATTGCTAAATCCCTTCAGCCTGTATTTTTACTCTTTAATATATTTTTCATAATTATATGCAATGTCATTCATTAAAATCGTTTCTGTTTCCTTGTTTAGGAGGGCATTGTAACAAATACCCATGTATTTTGCATAAATAACCATCAACACAAATAAAGCAACCACTTGTCTCAAAACTCAGGATTATGTGTATATTAATATTTAATACATCTTTGTCCATCAGACTTAACTAGTCAGTAAGCTGTTTTCATAATACTACAAAATGACCTACTACATCACTGTTTAAAAAGCTACAATGGAATACTGCCCCTTTAAAACATTCCTTACAAAAATGTAGTTATATTATGCTTGCAGACACTTTCTATTTATATATTGTAATAAGCAAATTCTGGCAATTATTGACCAAACACATGGATATTAAACAAATGTTATTTACCAATTTATGTAATAAACCTATATATATGTATTTGATAAGGAATATGAAATCCCAGTATTTAGAAATAAGGCAATACAATTGCTGCAATCCCGGTTAGATTGGTGTAGTATGACAGTCTCACCAGAGTTATTGCCCTTTGAATAGTCAACTGTTTAACCCTTTCACACCTGTAGACCATAATGGACTTGTCCATATCAATGCATTGTATTTTCTACTAAAGCTACATAGGGGTGAAAGGGTTATTCATGGAGTGCAAACCTGTCAAGTTTTATAGTCTACTATATAAACTTTGCAATTTAAAAAAAAAATGAGTTTAAAAGAAAACTAAAAATTAGCCAATAGTATTTGATTTTTTTCTGTGTAAAAGAAACCCTATATACATTTATGTATACTAACACTGATCATAGGAGGGCTTCCTTCTTCATTTTTAAACTTCGTAAATTACTTCTTTCAAAAAGACCTAATGCTTAATTTGAAGCCATATGCAATCCTAATGAAAAATTTCGAGTCAATATTTACAGGAGCAAAATAATACTGGTAAATACATTTGATTTATTCCTGTTGTTAAAAAAAAGAGGAACATTTCTGTTGTTACTTCACAAATCATCTGTTCGTTGTTGATTCACAAATCATCTGAATTATCTGTTCCTTGTTGATTTACAAATCATCTGTTCTTTGTTGATTCACAAATCATCTGTTCTTTGTTGATTCACAAATTATCTGTCCAAATCAAAATTCAATAAATGTGTATTTTTTCAAGTTTGTGATTTAGTAATAAAACCGTTTTGAGTTAACATTTAGTTTTGTGTCCTTTTTAATCCTCAGTTGATTTACAACTCCGGGTCCACCCGTACAAGTCTGTATCAGCGGGTAAGGTCTGTGTTTATTTTTAGATAAGATAAAAACGATAAAACCTTTAAAGTAGAACGTGTCAAAAACCAGAAATAAAAATAACATAACATATAATATATGTATCTATCCACCGACTTAGGTATCTAATTCCGTGATCTATCTAAGAAGAACTTTGTCGCCCACTTGTTAGATTTCCATCAGTCTATAGAAGTTTGTTATCTCCCCCTGGACCGTGTGGTGTCTCTTGTTTATACCTTCACACTACTGCTGTTTGACAGCTCTTCAATGCGAGGCTTTATATACTTCTTTACTAGAATAGTAACGTATTGCTAAAACAGTTTCTGATTAATTTCAAACGATATATGAAAAACTGGGGAATTGGAAGCATCTACTTTTGAAATTTCAGATCGATTTTAGTATCCTTGAAATAGCAATATTTTTACACACTGCAATGGTCAAGTCAAGAATTGTGCAACCATGAAAGTTCGAGTTCGAGAAAAACTGTTCAAAATTGACCGTTTAAACAAAAAACCAAACAGAACAAATATGTCTAATTTCAGAAATCTCTCGCATGAATTTTCTGAGAAATATCGATAACAAGTTGATTTTAAAATCCAAAATGGCCGTTCTGCAGCTATTTGCACACATTAGGACCAAGCTAGGAAACGGACAAGAAATAAAACAGAACAATCCAGATCTGTCAAATTCATAGATAAGCGTCTTGAAACCATATAATATTTTTTTCAAAAATTAAACGTGCATACATTCATTTCCAGAGGGAATCTAATTATGAAATTCAAATTGGGTGGTTGGTTGGCGTATTCGCCTTTCACAGAAACGGCCAGGGTATAATTTCCAGACGTTAAAAGGTATGTGCGTCACCTGCCCAAACACGAGGGTTTTCTCCGGGTACTCCGGTTTCCCGCACATTAAGACCCTCTGCAGATAGACTTGAAGGTGACTACCGTTTTCAATGTCTATTTTTTACTTGTCCTGATTTAGCATGAGAATGGTGTCATGGATATCGGCCCAGGTCTGTTTTATTTGTGTTCTGTGTGAGAATGGTGTCATCGATATCGGCCCAGGTCTGTTTTATTTATGTTCTGGGTGAGAATGGTGTCATGGATATCGGCCCAGATCTGTTTTATTTATGTTCTGTGTGGGAATGGTGTCATGGATATCGGCCCAGGGCTGTTTTATTTATGTTCTGTGTGAGAATGGGGTCATGGATATCGGCCCAGGTCTGTTTTATTTGTGTTCTGTGTGAGAATGGTGTCATCGATATCGGCCCAGGTCTGTTTTATTTATGTTCTGGGTGAGAATGGTGTCATGGATATCGGCCCACGTCTGTTTTATTTTTGTTCTGTGTGAGAATGGTGTCATGGATATCAGCCCAGGTCTGTTTTATTTGTGTTCTGTGTGAGAATGGTGTCATCGATATCGGCCCAGGTCTGTTTTATTTATGTTCTGTGTGAGCATGGTGTCATGGATATCGGCCCAGGTCTGTGTTATTTATGTTCTGTGTGAGAATGGTGTCATGGATGTGCGTCACCTGCCCAAACACGAGGGATTTCTCCGGGTACTCCGGTTTCCCGCACATTAAGCCCCTCTGCAGATAGACTTGAATGTGACTACCGTTTTCAATGTCTATTTTTTACTTGTCCTGATTTAGCATGAGAATGGTGTCATGGATATCGGCCCAGATCTGTTTTATTTATGTTCTGTGTGGGAATGGTGTCATGGATATCGGCCCAGGTCTGTTTTATTTTTGTTCTGTGTGAGAATGGTGTCATGGATATTGGCCCAGGTCTGTGTTATTTATGTTCTGTGTGGGAATGGTGTCATGGATATCGGCCCAGATCTGTTTTATTTTTGTTCTGTGTGAGAATGGTGTCATGGATATTGGCCCAGGTCTGTGTTATTTATGTTCTGTGTGGGAATGGTGTCATGGATATCGGCCCAGGTCTGGTTTATTTATGTTCTGTGTGAGAATGGTGTCATTGATATCGGCCCAGGTATGTTTTATTTATGTTCTGTGTGAGAATGGAGTCATGGATATCGGCCCAGGTCTGTTTTATTTTTGTTCTGTGTGAGAATGGTGTCATGGATATCAGCCCAGGTCTGTTTTATTTGTGTTCTGTGTGAGAATGGTGTCATGGATATTGGCCCAGGTCTGTGTTATTTATGTTCTGTGTGGGAATGGTGTCATGGATATCGGCCCAGGGCTGTTTTATTTATGTTCTGTGTGAGAATGGGGTCATGGATATCGGCCCAGGTCTGTTTTATTTTATTCTGTGTGAGAATGGTGTCATGGATATCGGACCAGGTCTGTTTTATTTGTGTTCTGTGTGAGAATGGTGTCATCGATATCGGCCCAGGTCTGTTTTATTTATGTTCTGTGTGAGATTGGTGTCATGGATATCGGCCCAGGTCTGGTTTATTTATGTTCTGTGTGAGAATGGTGTCATTTATATCGGCCCAGGTCTGTTTTATTTATGTTCTGGGTGAGAATGGTGTCATGGATATCGGCCCACGTCTGTTTTATTTTTGTTCTGTGTGAGAATGGTGTCATGGATATTGGCCCAGGTCTGTGTTATTTATGTTCTGTGTGATAATGGTGTCATGGATATCGGCCCAGGGCTGTTTTATTTATGTTCTGTGTGAGAATGCTGATGGTCTAAACGTTAAGGAATTTGATACACGGTTACCTGAGGAAATTTAGCAGTTCAGAATTGATTTTATTCTATTTATAATATACCGTGTTGTTTTATCATAACTTTTCTCCGGGTACTCCGGTTTCCCGCACATTAAGCCCCTCTGCAGATAGACTTGAATGTGACTACCGTTTTCAATGTCTATTTTTTACTTGTCCTGATTTAGCATGAGAATGGTGGCATGGATATCGGCCCAGGTCTGTTTTATTTATGTTCTGTGTGAGAATGCTGATGGTCTAAACGTTAAGGATTTTGATACACGGTTACCTGAGGAAATTTAGCAGTTCAGAATTGATTTTATTCTATTTATAATATACCGTGTTGTTTTATCATAACTTTGAATCTTTGATTATTGATAAGTATATAAACATATAAAACCCAGCTGTTGCGAGGACGTTCAACTAACCCGATAACAGAAATAAACTGAAAACTCAAACACTATGTGCGACATATCACTTATATCTGCTGTATGTTCACTATGGACAAATTAAATTACACGCAGCTGGTATCACGTGATTTTGTTATGCCGCCATATTTACATTTGTCAATGTGACGCATGACAAGTTAAATAAAATCAGAGGCTTGCCAAGGGTTTTTCACCAATTGAAATCTCGAGTACGGAATTTCTCAATTCTACACCCCTGGGCACGATAGAGTATTTCTCTCTCAATCCAATCGCCAAAGAATCATCTCAAAAACCTGCTAAATGCGCCACAGTTTCCGCATTGCAGCATCCGAGTGTTCCCGAGGTTCATGGCTTGGGGTCCTTGTTGTCCCATTATGACAGCTTTGTAACAGAAAGTTTATACTCCTTTCTTCCCATGAGCAGTTCTGTCATATACGTACAGCAATGAGAGGAAAGTATTGACTTCGATCAATATTTCTTTATCCAAGCAAAGTTCAAACTATCTAAAACTGGTCCACTTACAAATTTTCGCCAAGTGTGGTATCATCTTCAGCAACAAAACAGATGTACACATGTAAATGTTATCAAATATGTTGCACATGAACTCATTTTATTGGGACCAATTGTGACAATGTCTAATAAACATTTGCTTTAGTCAATCTATATTGCAGAATTTCGTTAAATCAAGGTACTCTATCCTCGCGTTTGCATTGACTGTGCTGTATAGGGAGTAAGCCATCTATCAGGTTTGTGCGAGTCCGAAAAACTTCAGAATAACTCCCTAGCTGATTTTCGGGGATTCAGACTAACTCCCTTGGCAATTTCCGAAACTTCTACACGGAGATTACATAGCGAGCAAGGTGAGTTGTAAGTGGAGCTGAGCTGAACCCATCCAGTTGTTATCGATCTTGAGACAACAGCTCAGAGGTAATCGAACAGTTTTTACAACAGCACAAGAAAGACTTATAAGTTTTGGATTTCGGGATATAGTAAGTTTCTGGCTCCCCGATATATATCAACCAAATCAAAATACGACGCGATCAGTTTTTATAGGGATATTTGAAATACAACATTCTGATGCTTTAGCAAACTGTATTAGGACATTCGTGAACTAAGGACACTCAAATAATGGCATCAAACAGTTTAATTTCATCAGTTGGTTGTTCGAGCAAACTACTTAGACAAACACAAAATATAAATACAATGTACCCACTTTTTCAGTTTTAATACTGTACAGTGCCGACGAGTAAATCTACGCCCAGCACTATACTATCCAGTTTCTTTTTGAATAGACACCATGTAAATAATACATTCAGTGTCTGTGTCTTACTGCCGTAGATGACAAGTTGCATCTCTTGGCAGATAAGGGCCAAATGAGAGGAACACTAAGTCTAAGATCTAAGTCCAATCACGACACGACACCTGTATCATTTGGTTACGCCCCCCTGGTGACATGTGTTTTCATTAAGATGCAGACACTGTCATGGAGTTAGGTAGGTAACTAAGAACTATCGTCATTGAGAAATCGTTAAGGAAATATTTTTGATTTTTTAGCAAACGGCAAACGATCCTATCAAATAATCCTAAATAAAAAACACATAACTTGTTTTCCATATATCTAACTATTTCGAAACAATAACTTAACATTGTAAAACTATAAAAGCAATTTTTTTAAGTGTAATTTTTCCGATAAAAAATCGCAACACCTTATAACTTCGTAATCTTTAATTGTCAGCAAAATGTGTCAAATGACTTTAAAAACAAAATCTTACTTTCATGTCTGGAGTCGTCAACACATCCTGGCTATTCCATAGTCCGGGGAATTAAAATTTATTTCAGTCAATTTTCAAACAACAACAGTTTGATATGAATTCTTAATCTCCTACACATTCTTGCATGCACTCTCCAGGTGAGTGACACATTTACGTGTATACCAAGACAACGAAGAAGGCATTGATGGCAGCAACACGCGTGTACACTTCTGGTCTTGATGTAAATAAAATCTGTTTCCGGAAACTGACCACTTCAGTCAAATTTGTACACTTCGAACGCAGTAGGTTCTCCGTCTGAGGTGATGACAAACTCGTGCCTCGTCGGGTGGAACACGATGCCATTTGGTCGACTTATGTTATGTTGCATTTTCAGTAAAATACGGCCACTAGTTCCATCGTTGAAAATTTGATGCACGTGCCCAGTCTCACGTGAGCACACGTACGCGTTCCCGAACTGATCACAAGCGATTCCAGACACACCTTTGAGATCTTTGTCTTGGTAACGAAAACCGGAAGTACCATCCATTTTCATGCATACGACGTTGTCGCCATCTTTGAACCAGAAGCTGTTAGATCGTCGGCAGGCTGCCACGTAGGTACATACTCCATTTGTCGGAAATGAATTAAGCGACGTACCATCAACAGAAATCATTTCGACTGAGTTCGGACCCCCCGCAAGAATGACGTCATCAATAACGGAGATACCCCATGTACCTTTCGGGACCTTGAGTTTATCTTGATATTCAATGGAATCGTTGTCAAAGCTATATCGGTAGATGTCCTTGTCGAAGTAGTAGCCAACCGCTATGAAGACGCTCTGGTGACGCGCGCTATAGACGATGTCGCTAGGAGGTTTGTCAATGGACATGGCTTTCTCAATCTTATAGTTCTGGTCAAACAGGAGCAGACGACGATGTTTCTGGTCAGCCATCAGACATTTCCCGTTTGGAAAGTAAGCACCCCCTGTTAGTTTGGCCGCCTGTTTCCCACCAAGCATCTCCACAAACCTAGATACAGATCGTTCCGTCAGCTTCGCAGTTTCCTCTTGAATAGAGAGGTCAATAATGGCGTCCATTTCTTTCACATTTGTCTCTAGATTCTTCGTTATCGTGCGTGTACGCGGGGACTTTATTTCCGTCACGGAAACACCGCCATAGTTACGAATGGCGCTTACAGACTTTTCGTCAAGTACAGCTATATTCATATCTATATCAACTTCCGTTATATCAATGTCTCTTTCAAGAATGTTTCTCATATTCCGAACATGACTTTTCACTTGTGCTTTCACCATTTCTTGTGCTATAAATAGCTGACTAGTCAGGGAATTCTCACGGAGTCCAGAAACGAGAGCGCATCTGTTGTCGAGGTCTACCGAGAACATTTCCGTATGCGTTAAATCCGACACAAGTCTTTGGCGGTTTTCCTCCCACTCCAGATGAAGATTTTCCTGAAAATCTGTTAAAAGGTCATCGAGCTGGGACTTTGCCCCATCCACAATTCTCTTCATGACCATTAGTAGTTTCGCGTTTTCGCAATCAAGAGTTTTAATGTTTTCTTCTTTGATTTCGCGTAGTGTCTCCACATGAGTCCCTATTTCATTCACCTTTCGTTGCGTTGTTTCAGCGACGGTACTAACACTATCTGTTGTGACGTCATCGACTGACATCATACCGCTACAACCTTCATGGATACTTGAGGCACAAGAAGAGCAACAGAGCGCTTTATGTTCCCTACAGAACGCATTTATAATCTTCCTCGGATGAGATTTACAGAAAATATCAACGCACACACCAGCGGACGGCCCGTTACCTCTCTCTATGGGAATGACAGTGTGACTGGCGGTGAATCTGTTTCGTTGGTGATAACTTTCACAAGAACTACACAGAAATTGAGAACAGTTTGAACATCTATATAAAGCATGGTTTGTATCCTGAAGCATTTTACACGGGTCACACAAGGCATCAGTGGGTGAAGACTTCGACGGTGAAGGCAACTGCAACAAAGCCTCGAACAGCCTGTTCAGTGGAAATAAACTAGCCCATTCCTCCACGGGTGCTGTATTGTCTGGGACTGGAGTCGTCAGTGTACAGACAGGACAGGGGAATCCCTTGTCGCCTGCTACAAGTCCGAGAGATCCGATATAGGTCTGGAGGCACCCGCTACAGAAGCTATGTTCACACGGAAGCAGTCTCGGAGTATCGTACCCTTGAGAACAAAGCGGACACAACAGTCGGACGGCAGGAGATGATGCAGCCATGTTGGACGTCTTTGTCTGTACTGTGAAGACGGTGTGTACGTGTTCAGCTGAGGTATGTTATCGGCGTCGGACGATTGTTATCCCGGGTCATAGGACAATAACGCTAACGATGTTACGTTAGTTCACATGATACAGCTGATAACTGACAGTGATTGGGAAGGGCAAAATTCAATCATGACTGGACACCATGATCCAGACCTAGTTGTAATAAAATAAAAGTAGGAAAATGACACATTTTGTAATGTTTCTTTCCACAGTTGACCATCTTAGTTCGGATTCTAACGTCTGGGATCGTGCAATATCTAGAATCGGTTTTTACTCTCTTTAGTAGACTTTACATTACAAATAGGATTTTATTTTCAAAAGGAACTTATATTGAATGATTTTGCCTTGGACGACCCGCAAGTCAAATTGGGATAACCTGTGTTATATGATTGGAACCCTTATACATTGTATATGGACAACTATCCATTTTTTTTTTTTTTTTTTTTTATCAATTTATTTTTCCAACAGTTTTTCATAATATAGGTACAGAACAGGTATTTTCATTTTCACACTCTCTAACATACATTTTGACACTTAATTCACTCATCATCAACACCATCATCATCATCATCATCATCATCATCATCATCATCATTTTCATCATCATCATCATCATCATCATCATCTTCATCTTCATCATCATCATCATCATCATCATCATCATCATCATCATCATCATCATTTTCATCATCATCATCATCTTCATCATAATCATCATCATCATCATCATCATCATCATCATCATCATCATCATCATCATCTTCATCATCATCATCATCATCATCACCATTACCATCATCCTCATAATCATTATCATCCTCAATCTCAGAATCGTCAACATCATCCTGATTGTTGTCGTCATTATCATCACCACTATCATCATCAGCAGCAGCAGCATCACTATCTCATCAGCATCCTGATCATAAACGTTCAAACTATCCGTTCCTCATAGCCATCATCATCACTATCGCATCACTATCGGACAGAGAAAGTTTGTAGTTTTTATTATGATGTATGTGTGGAATTATATATATTTTGTTGTTTTTTTATAAATATTTTTACAGTTTGTAATGCTTTGTGTTTGCTATAAGTTTATATTTGTAACGATGTAGTTTTGTAATATAGCAAAATGTTTTGCCTTTTCTCTGAAATGAAAAATAATTTTCCTTTTTTCACGGATATATATATCGATCTCGAAAATATCGAAAATTTAAATTATTAGAAAAATTTACTATTTACAGTAACCAAAATGATATCTACTATAGTTTTAAAATAAATCATTTGTTTAGTAACAAAACCCACAGATGCGTGAAATGTTTTGTTGGGCGTATTGTATAATCAGGTTGGACTAAGACTAGGAGCAGTTACTGAAGCGAACTTCTAAAATGATGGGATACATGACAAAGCTTTTATAGAATGGCTGTTAACCAAAACTCACAAAAACACTTTTAACCGACACTGGCAGACATGGCCAAAGGACTAGGGGTGTTAAAGGTCATTTCTGGCCTCTTCAGGGATTTAGAAATAGTTGTTATATTCGTAACCTGGAATTAATGAAGTACGCAAACATGATATTTCAAATTCATTCGACAACTGGTTTAGAAGATTTGGCATTACAAAGAGAGACATAAACCTGCATTTTCATAATAAAATGCGTGAATATCGTCTGTTTTGCGCTATTTGGTTGAAAATTGGCCATTTTGAAGGATATTTATTACATGTAGAAACAAAATAATATTTGATATGCTTAAACATTGTCACACCAGTGTTTGTCACATGCGGGGGCTTTCATTTCTGCATGCTAACTGTCCAAAAATACCACAATTTGGCTATTTCTGCATAGCAACGCGATTTCGTTGTTATGGTAGGGCAGCTACGCATGCGCATTGGACATAATATGCACCTAGAAAGATAGCCCCAGTTAACCAATATGATGTTTATAACAGAAATTGGTAAATAAATTCAAGTTGAAATTTTTACTTTTTTTGAGGCCAAAAATGACCCTTAACGCCCAAGTCCTTTGGCATATAATGCGATCATTTGGAGACCATTCTGACCTTTCCGGAAATATTTCAGCGTTTGCCGGAAACGTCCGAGATTGACCCTGACGAGGAGGGGACGTGATTGGGTGGTATCATTATTTGAACCGATCAGCTTCTTTTAAATAAATTTCTTCTTCAATGGTTTTGATAATATTTACACATTAATTTATCATTCGTACATCTTTATGTACATTTAGCAATGTGATTTATGATGTTGGGGAGACTACGAGAGTTGTTATCAACAAATACTAAATTCTGTATTAAATATCGTTTGAAATGGAGAACGCCTCTGTAATAGTGTGGGCTACTATCACATATCAGCTTATCAAGACATTCCGCCCTTTGAACTCCGTAAGATTAACTTCGACGATAACCGGGTGGATACATACCGATAATAAAAGGACGAGATCACAGGGACCTGAAAATTAAGTCACTCTGTGGATTTTAACGCATTTTCTTTGTATAAGGGAGATTTTTGGAGAATCCACGGATTTCCAACAGCACACGATACAATTATATCCACAAGTTGTATATACCAGTCACAATTCATGGGGTGGCATTTTGTATAATGTTGATATTTGCTTCACAAAACAATAATTCCTACAATTAATTATCAAGTCCCTGTTAAGTATATCACACAACGCCCACTAGTGAAGCCTGTCAGATTCAGTATAGATTGTACTGTCCTAGTCCATAATCCAGCTACATTTTAAATCTATTCAAATATTGGTAGAGGACTTAATTATATTTTTTCATTAATGTTTTATTTTTAATTCTAGCTTTTTGATGATCTGTACATTTCTCAATTATTATCAAATATCAATTTTTATATAATTCATTCATCAATTTTGCATTACTCTATGGTATCAATTTGGAAACCTTTCAAACAGTCCTGTTCATGTAGTTAAGCTCTAGTAGCTATTTCGACGACTGACAAACGCTTTTTTTAAATCAGAGAGTCTCGCCTTGCCTTTCTAACTTATGTTTCAGTATAGTTTTTAACCTGTTATGAATCTAACCCAATCGCACTGACAGCTTCATAATGATTGGAGGCAGCCCCTCTAATCACGATCATCACATCCGCCTCTATCCAGAATGCATCAGCGTGATCGGAGACCATCGCTTCTGCCTCTACCCAGAGTGCATCAGCGTGGTCACAGATCATCACATCCGCCTCTACCCAGAGTGCATCAGCGTGATCGGCGACCGTCACTAGAATGTCTTAGTGTGATCAGTATTGTCAGCTCACCTGATGTAATTGAGAAAGAATTCAAAACCCGATTGAATGGACAAGATGCAAAATGATGCCGACGATTTCCAGGCAGTGTGTTTTTCATTCAGTACTTGTAAACATCAGTTAACTGAAACAGTCTGCAAAGTTATTGGATGTTGATTTTTTTTTTTCAATACAAACTTTGATTTATATTATTTCGAATATGAATTATGAAGAAATGCAGCAGCACCAAAAACAAGTGCAAGATTACCATTTCTGTTTTTTGTGTGTTCTAAATTAAATTGCTTACCTATTATTCTGCAAAATAAATTAGCAATATCAGAAAATAGAATATTCCGAATTGTTTTCCAACCCTATACACGATCGTTTTATCTCTCTCCGTGTTAGGCATTTAACATTTCCACTGTCTATCCGTTGTATATTTCAGACCTTGTGAAAAAGTTCTAAGATTTAGGCGAGAAATTACAAATCATAATTTTGAATCATAACATCTTTTAATGTAATCGATTGAAGTCCCGAACACTTCAATATTTTTTTATGTTTAAACACACGATGTAAAATAACAAATCTGGTAGCTTTTCCTTGTGATCCGTTGCGCGAGAGTTTGGGGTTGGCTTTAGATGTATGAGATTCTTGAAATGCAGCCTAAGAATCTTTCTAGGATAAAATTGCTTGAAATGCCTTGTCTTATTCTCATCTTATGTTTAAATTAATCCTCTTACGTTATCTTTATTATTTCTTTATCATGCTCCAAACACTCTGTCATCTTCGATATCCAGGGGTTACGCTCACCTCCGCTCTCAGCACAGAGCGCAAGATGACACTCTGTATGTATCTTAGATTGTACTATATAAGTGTTTATACGGTGAATTTTTAAACTTTGCTGTGTTAGCATATATCTATATACAGCCTAGTGCTTTTAATACCTCACCATATCTGCATGAGATTTTTGCATGTTCTAACCTTACTATGTTTGAAAAGTCTCTCATACCTTAGCGATAGTAGTATTAATATGTCTTATTATCTTGCCGTGAAAATTTTCTTTTGTTTTCTCGTTATAAAAGCTCTTCAGAGATAATGTTTCTGTTTTTATATATATTTCATGTATCGTGTAAGTATAATAATCAATTAATGCAGGCTGAATAGCAGACTCAGATCAGACTTGTATTCAAATTGCTGCTAAAATGATCGCAAATAATGACATTTAGAATACATACATGTAATACACTGTCTGCAGCTTGTTGTTTACATCATTTTTTTATTCACCAGCTGTCTTTGGAAAACCATTCACACATACTTTTAATGAACAAAAATGAAAACTATTCCCTAGATTAAAGGGGTATTGTTTTTCGCAATGTACCGACACTTGGTTACCTTGTGGAGGATTAACTTCCACTCAACAATACAACCGCCTTATTATCTGAACTTGAGTTCAACCAAAACTACCTATGGGGTATTTACTTTCGTTCTACAGTAAAACAGCCTTACAATCTGAACCATTGCTTTACAAGTATCTTTCGATAAGCACCAGACGTCTTTATAACGTTGAAAGATTGCAGTACAACGGGCCAGACAACTGGCATGTAATTCAAAGAAGAATTATTTTATGTATGAACTGTTCACTACAAGATACTTGTGTGCCAATACATCTGTATACCGGCTTTACTGTGTGCCAATACATCTGTATACCGGCTTTACTGTGTGCCAATACATCTGTATACCGGCTTTACTGTGTGCCAATACATCTGTATACCGGCTTTACTGTGTGCCAATACATCTGTATACCGGCTTTACTGTGTGCCAATACATCTGTATACCGGCTTTACTGTGTGCCAATACATCTGTATACCGGCTTTACTGTGTGCCAATACATCTGTATACCGGCTTTACTGTGTGCCAATACATCTGTATACCGGCTTTACTGTGTGCCAATACATCTGTATACCGGCTTTACTGTGTGCCAATACATCTGTATACCGGCTTTACTGTGTGCCAATACATCTGTATACCGGCTTTACTGTGTGCCAATACATCTGTATACCGGCTTTACTGTGTGTTGATTATGGTCCTACGGACTGTTTCAGTCTAGAAATAATTTCATAAACTTTCTTTCCTTACGTGCCGTGAGACGCTGTCTACTGTGATATCATTTTTAGAAACTTATCTGTTTTTTCAAATAATGCTTGTTCAGAGAAGAAATTAGTCAGAACCTTCTCTGACTCTGTACTATTTGAACTATGTGTTATTATTTTCTTTTATTGATCATTTATCCCCCAATAACAGCCAAAAAATCAAGGTATCGATTTCAATATCCCCGCAGACTCGGGGAATACTCCTCATGGAATGAAGTAAGTTTGGGGCAGTGTAATTCAACACAAGATTGATTGACCAAAAGACTAAGTTAGTTTTGTACACAAACAGGAATTGAAAACTTATTTTGCCAGCTTTCGAAAATGTATGTTTCCTTTGTCAAGCAAAGAACAAACTTAGCCTTTATTTTTCATACCAAATCTTATTCCGAATGTAAGCACCGTGGTTTAATTCGAGCTAAAGGGACTTGAATAATTAATGGTTTCGGATGTCCCGTCTTATAATGTTCGATTGGTGAACAGGGAAAAATGAAAATTTGGTTTTAAAGAAACAATGAAACAGTCGTCATTTCGTTGCATTTAATAGCAATGTGAAAAAATACGGATTAAAACCGACTAAAACCGACAAAAATCATAAATAGCCTCTTCCTGACAAAACTACATGTTGTTCTTTGAACCTATTAAATAATGTCGATGTATTGTGTAACACTTGCCAATGATAAAACTGACAAAAAAAATCAAGGACATATAGTTGATGAGTAGGTCACTGTGACCTTGTTATATGTCCGCTTATTTATGACAACGATGCTATGAAGTTTGTGTCTAAACACATATTGAATTAATAAGTATCTTACTTATCAGTGAGTAGGGCTTACTTTTCTTCACACATTTTCAAAATATTTTTATTCATTATTGCTGGTTTTGGCACAAATCCAGGCAACAACTGCAGAAATGGATCCGCGTTCGAATGTGAGGTTTTTGAAGTAAAACCAATTTTCATGATGTAATACTTACCATAACTTTAGTATGCATATACAATACCTACACCCATCTTTGTAGCCCAAAAACAAAAAATTCAAATATCCCTACCTCCCTACCGTGATGGTAATTATTAGTGAAATGAAAATATTAGACCACACCATAAAAATGTATTTGAATACTTACCTTTTGATAATTATGTAACAAGTAAGTGTGCCTTGACACATTTTGTCTGGTAGTGCTTTGAACAAGTTAAGAACCATCGATATCTACATTGCAATAATAAATGATTGAAATAAATGGTTCACATAAAATGCTACATTCTTTTCCAGTTTTTATTGATATTTAGGCTAACTTAACGGTATAAACACCATCTGATACACATCTAACATGATTATTATTTTGATGGAAGTCCTTACATCTGTGATTAGAATGTTTACATGCATATAATGTACTTACCTCACGATCCAGTAAGTAGACGTTTTAACTTTCAATTGGACTTGCATTGTACTAACTTAGATACAAATATAGTTAATAACTTGCTCACTAGCCAGCTGATATTTACTGTGCAAAAGGATATATATACCTTTGTGTACTCTGTAAAGGGTCTTAGACGTACGGAACATATACTACTTATACAGCTGGACTATAAGGCAAACATAATATACATTCTGCTAACAAATATATGGACCTCTAGCAAAATGTATTTGGTGTGTGGCAGGGGTCGGTAATATATCCCGTTATGTTACCCAAAATATCAATCAACACTTTTTATGTGCATTCATTTATTTCAATATTTTTATTTCACTGTCAACTGTTCCTATCTTGGGGAAAGCTCAGGCAGCCAAAGTCCATGTTTTTATTACAGTGAGGAAGCAATGTACACTTACTTGTTATGTATGAAAAAGTAATTACCTATGTATAGCTGAGCATCAAAGACATGTTCATACACAAATAGCAGCTTTACATGTATTGAGGCTTTTGTGCAAAAACGAAAAACAAAAAAACAAAAACACCAGTAACTATGAAAAAAAGATGGAACAAGTTTTAATGGGAGAAACTCCCCTCCCCCTCCCATCCCGATAACTTAGATCCTATTTTCTTGTGAGTTGGTTAAGATACTCATAAATACAACTTGGTAAGATTATTGTATCGTTCTAATGTGTATCTAGGCGCAAAATGTATGGTATGATCGACATAAATAAGGCGATATATAACAAGGTCACAGTGACCTACTTATCAACTTTTGTGCTGTATTTTGTTTTTATTATTTGGAGCTTTACTGTTACGCAAAACATTAAAATTATGACGAAAAGTTAAAATAAAATAAAAACAGTTGTCAAAAATTAGCCTGTTGAGACTTTGTTCCCTCGCCTTACCCTCTCATATCTCGGAATGGTCTCCAAGCTTGTCTGCATAACATAACCTTAAGTTATATATATAAAAAATATAACTTACCGGTGATAACTATCAGAAGGACCTAATTGATAGTACTTCTTTAAAATAAACATTTGCATACGCCGAAACAAGCAGACGATTAGAGTACTTTCTTTGATCGATCTGTTTGATGTTTATTGAAGTTGCTTTGTGCTACAACTAGTGTTTTCATATATCCAACAACTTACATTCAATGTCTTTCCCTGGTTGTTTTTTTTCAAATCTTTAGCTTAATGAAATTCTTCAACTGGACAAAACCACAAGATAAAAATATATGAAGAAAATATAGATAAGCAAAAAGGAAGAAACCAATGATAAATATAATTATTCAGTTATTACCAGGGCAAAACACTGACAAATTAAGTTTGTATTAAAAACGTTTACCACTGTTTAGAGAATACAAACTCCTTCCTTCTAAATTGGTTGGACCAGAACGATACACTTATTATGTCATGTGAATATATACACAGCGAAAATCACAGATATACGCTACATGTGGTGTAGATAGCGATTACACTGGCATTGTAACAGAACACCAAACGATTTAAAAATTCCATAAAAATATATGTATTATTGCAATAGTTACCACTTCACACTACAGGTCAATCTGATGAACACGTGATGATGATTGGTCACCATGACAACATCTATATACAATCGAATTACGTAATAGATCTTCTCAGAATAACCATAAATCAACTCGACATTTGAATCCTCCGTAGGGAAATCACCGTTCGCGAATGGCTGTGTATAATATATCGCTCATGTGACAAATCTTAAATCGTTAAATCTCATTCACTAAAACGCTAGCTCGTGTGGGATCAGTCTGTACTAACTCCGATACGTAATAGATACTCATTCTGGAAATACCATAAAATATCACAACTGGTGTTTTGCAGGGAGGTTCATTGGAAAGGCCATATATTAACTTGTTTTAATAGCATACAAAGTACATTCGATCTACAAGACCAGACAACACCCGGAATACTACACACATTTACAAAGCAGACGACACCCGGGATACTACACACATTTAAATTACAATCAGACGACACCGGGGATACTACACACATTTACAAAGCAGACGACACCCGGGATACTACACACATTTACAAAGCAGACGACACCCGGGATACTACATACATTTAAATTACAATCAGACGACACCGGGGATACTACACACATTTACAAAGCAGACGACCCCCGGGATACTACACACATTTACAAAGCAGACGACACCCGGGATACTACACACATTCACGGAGCAGACGACACCCGGGATACTACACACAATGCCGCCGAAGAAATCGCCTGCAACGAAAACGGCAGCGAAGCCTGCAACGAAAACTGCCGGTGGGACGAAGTCAACGGGGGGAGCCAAGGGCGCGGGGGCAGCCAAGGGCGCGGGGGCAGCCAAGGCCAAGGCAGCCGAAGGTAGGGAGTGAGAAAAGGAACACTGAATGGAAAAATTAATTTATATCCAACAAAGCTAGTCTATGAAAATGAACTAGGACAATTGGCGAAATAATAATTACCTTTATTTGTTATAAGTATTTGTCTCCTGGTTTGAACGGCTACCGCCAGTGCTAAACATTTTGTTAAAATGCATTAGGATACCTATATTCAAGTATATAATAGTTACGAAGTTACATATCAATTAAGAAAACAATTATAATAATCTCTCAATCTAAATTTAACTAGGATTACAGATATCATTATAGGAATAGCCTTTCAGGAGTTGTAATATGTCTGCTCCTCCGAGGTGGCATTAACGTAGCAGTGTTTTTTAAGTTGTGCTTCGTATATGCCATGTGTTATGTACGTCTCATTCCCAGTTTAATTTATAAATCTGACGCTAAAATCAGTGAGCATTGTCATAACCTTCAAGTAGCTGGCACATGTGTATATCTTTACTCAGTAAGTATATTTTCAATACGAGAGCTCGCACTGAACTCATTTTACAACTTAACATGAACAGTCTTAAATCCTCTACAAGATTTAATCGACGAATTACACTGTCTTACACATTACAATGAAGAATGGAATTGATTTTAAGTAAATTATATACTTAGACGGGACGCGGATTTATAAGAACACAATAAAACGGTCTAGGTGTTGAGTTAGTATATAAATGATTGTGGTTTTAAAGGTAAAGCTCGCCCCTTCTTGGTATCAATATGGAGTATCACCCGTTCAACTGTTACCCTGTCTAATTTTATTGTTTGTATGTTGTGCACATTTCTTTATTTTAAATAAGTTAAAAAAAAAATCTAGATTTGCAAAAATCCTAAACGCATGATTAGGTGACCTTGGTTACTCTGTATTGTTGCCAACATGTCTGATACCTGTAATGTCCTCCTGGCACGGTAGTCTAGTGGTAGGAAGCCGGGCTCGTGGCAGAAGGGTTGCGGGTTCGAGTCACGGCAAAGCACTGTATTGTATCTTTGAGCAAGATGTTCAAGTCTACTCAGCTGTAAATGAGTACGTGGTTGGGCAGTGCTAGAACTGTTGAATGCTAGCTGTGAGAGCCAAAATGGCAGCACCGGTTGTATGCTTCCCAGGGAGTTGAGAAAGATATTTGATGGTTGCAAAGGCCCTATAACCACGGACAATGATTGGAAACCACTTCGAGACGACCTACGAACTAGGTTGTGATAAAGCGGTATAAAAGAACCTCGAATTATTATCATACAAAATGTCTTTTTGGAATTAACCGTTTAAACATTTACTATTTTATTGCAAAATAATATTGGTAGAAGGATTGACAAAATGAAATTTTGACAAAACTTGTAGAGGTTACTCTTTAACATGGTTTATTTTTCACCACTAGTTCAGAGGAGACGTTCAAATACTCTTTATATTTAATCGCTTTCACCATGAGTGATCTAAATGTGAAAGGATAAATATACCACTTTTGAAATAACTGCATGTCATATTATTTCAATCATATTGCTTTCATTGAGTGAATAGATTTACATTTCCACTGCAAGTTCGTAAATAAGCATTGCAAGAAGAAATTCGTTCATAGAAATACTTTGTATGACCGTAATTTGATCAGCGCCAATGAATCCAATTAATGCGCTTTACTTATTGCTACCTGTAGTTTATGCGTCGCTTTACTTATTGCTACCTGTATAGTTTATGCGTCGCTTTACTTATTGCTACCTGTATAGTTTATGCGTCGCTTTATTTATTGCAACCTGTATAATTTATGCGTCGCTTTTATATTGCAACATATATAGTTTATGCGTCGCTTTACTTATTGCTACCTGTATAGTTTGTGTCGCTTTACCTATTGCTACCTGTATAGTTTATGCGTCGCTTTACTTATTGCTATCAGTGTAGTTTATGCGTCGCTTTATTTATTGCTAACTGTATAGTTTATGCGTTGCTTTATTTATTGCAACCTGTATAGTTTATGCGTCGCTTTACTTATTGCAACATGTATAGTTTATGCGTCGCTTTATTTATTGCTACCTGTAGTTTATGCGTCGCTTTTCTTATTGCTACCTGTAGAGTTAATGCGTCGCTTTACTTATTGCTCCCTGTATAGTTTATGAGTCGTTTTAATTATTGCTACCTGTATAGTTAATGCGTCGCTTTAGTTATTGCTACCTGTATAGTTTGTGTCGCTTTACCTATTGCTACCTGTATAGTTAATGCGTCGCTTTTCTTATTGCTACCTGTAGAGTTAATGCGTCGCTTTACTTATTGCTCCCTGTATAGTTTATGAGTCGCTTTCCTTATTGCTACCTGTATAGTTTATGCGTCGCTTTACTTATTGCTACCTGTATAGTTTATGCATTGCTTTACTTATTGCTACCTGCATAGTTTATGCGTCGCTTTACTTATTGCTACCTGTATAGTTTATGCATTGCTTTACTTATTGCTACCTGTATAGTTTATGCGTCGCTTTTCTTATTGCTACCTGTATAGTTTATGCGTCGCATTACTTATTGATACCTGTATAGTTAATGCGTCGCTTTATTTATTGCTACCTGTAGTTTATGCGTCGCTTTACTTATTGCTACCTGTAAAGTTAATGCGTCGCTTTACTTATTGCTACCTGTATAATTAATGCGTCGCTTTACTTATTGCTACCTGTATAGTTTATGTGTCGCTTTTCTTATTGCTACCTGTATAGTTAATGCGTCGCTTTACTTATTGCTACCTGTATAGTTAATGCGTCACTTTACTTATTGCTACCTGTATAATTAATGCGTCGCTTTACTTATTGCTACCTGTATAGTTTATGTGTCGCTTTTCTTATTGCTACCTGTATAGTTAATGCGTCGCTTTACTTATTGCTACCTGTATAGTTTATGCGTCGCTTTTCTTATTGCTACCTGTATAGTTTATGCGTCGCATTACTTATTGCTACCTGTATAGTTAATGCGTCGCTTTATTTATTGCTACCTGTAGTTTATGCGTCGCTTTACTTATTCCTATCAGTGTAGTTTATGCGTCGCTTTATTTATTGCTAACTGTATAGTTTATGCGTCGCTTTATTTAATGCTACCTGTAGTTTATGCGTCGCTTTTCTTATTGCTCCCTGTATAGTTTATGCGTCGCATTACTTATTGCTCCCTGTATAGTTAATGCGTCGCTTTACTTATTGCTACCTGTAAAGTTAATGCGTCGCTTTACTTATTGCTACCTGTAGTTTTTGCGTCGCTTTTCTTATTGCTACCTGTATAGTTTATGCGTCGCATTACTTATTGCTACCTGTATAGTTTATGCGTCGCTTTACTTATTGCAACATGTATAGTTTATGCGTCGCTTTACTTATTGCTACCTGTATAGTTTGTGTCGCTTTACCTATTGCTACCTGTATAGTTTATGCGTCGCTTTACTTATTGCTATCAGTGTAGTTTATGCGTCGCTTTATTTATTGCTAACTGTATAGTTTATGCGTCGCTTTATTTAATGCTACCTGTAGTTTATGCGTCGCTTTACTTATTGCTACCTGTATAGTTTATGCGTCGCTTTACTTATTGCTACCTGTAGTTTATGCGTCGCTTTTCTTATTGCTACCTGTATAGTTAATGCGTCGCTTTACTTATTGCTACCTGTATAGTTTATGAGTCGCTTTACTTATTGCTTCCTGTATAGTTTATGCGTCGCTTTACTTATTGCTACCCGTATAGTTTATGCATTGCTTTACTTATTGCTACCTGTATAGTTTATGCGTCGCTTTACTATTTGCTACCTGTAGTTTGTGCGTCGCTTTACTTATTGCTAGCTGTATAGGTTATGCGTCGCTTTACGTATTGCTACCTGTAGTTTGTGCGTCGCTTTACTTAATGCTACCTGTAGTTTATACGTCGCTTTACTTATTGCTCCCTGTAAAGTTTATGAGTCGTTTTACTTATTACCTGTATAGTTTATACGTCGCTTTACTTATTGGTACCTGTATAGTTTACGCGTCGCTTTACTTATTGATACCTGTAGTTTATGCGTCGCCTTACTATTTGCTACCTGTAGTTTATTGTATAGTTTATGCGTTGCTTTACTTATTGCTGCCTGTATAGTTTATGCTTCGCTTTTCTTATTGCTTCCTGTATATGTTATGCGTCGCTTTAATTATCGCTACCTGTATAGTTCATGTGTCGCTTGACTTATTGCTGTCTGTATAGGTTATGCGTCGCTTTACGTATTGCTACCTGTAGAGTTTATGTGTCGCTTTGCCTATTGCTACCTGTATAATTAATTCGTCGCTTTACTTATTGCTCCCTGTATAATTAATGCGTCGCTTTACTATTTGCTCCCTGTAGTTTATGCGTCGCATTACTTATTGCTACCCATATAGTTTATGCATTGCTTTACTTATTGCTATTATGCGTCGCTTTATTTATTGCTAACTGTATAGTTTATGCTTCGCTTTTCTTATTGCTACCTGTGTAGTTTATGCGACGCTTTACTTATTGCAACCTGTAGTTTATGCGTGGCTTTTCTTATTGCTACCGGTAGTTTATGCGTCGCATTACTTATTGCTACCCGTATAGTTTATGCATTGCTTTACTTATTGCTGCCTGTATAGTTTATGCGTGGCTTTACTTATTGCTACCTTTATAGTTTATGCGTCGCATTACTTATTGCTACCGGTATAGTTAATGCGTCGCTTTACTATTTGCTCCCTGTAGTTTATGCGTGGCTTTACTTATTGCTGCCTGTATAGTTTATGAGTCGCTTTTCTTATTGCTACCTGTAGTTTATGCGTGGCTGTAATGATTGCTACCCGTATAGTTTATGCATTGCTTTACTTATTGCTCCCCGTATAGTTTATGCATTGCTTTACTTATTGCTGCCTGTATAGTTAATGTGTCGCTTTACTTATTGATACCTGTAGTTTATGCGTGGCTTTACTTATTGCTATTATGCGTCGCTTTAGTTATTGCTACCTGTAAAGTTTATGAGTCGTTTTACTTATTGCTATCCGTATAGTTTATGCATTGCTTTACTTATTGCTACCGGTATAGTTAATGCGTCGCTTAACTTATTGCTACCTGCAGTTTATGCGTCGCTTTAGTTATTGCTTCCTGTATAGTTTGTGCGTCGCTTTACTTGTTGCTACCTGTATAGTGAATGCGTCGCTTTACTATTTGCTCCCTGTAGTTTATGCGTGGCTTTACTTATTGCTATTATGCGTCGCTTTACTTATTGCTACCTGTAGTTTATGCGTCGCTTTACTATTTGCTACCTGTAGTTTATGCGTCGCTTTTCTTATTGCTACCTGTATAGTTAATGCGTCGCTTTACTTATTGCTACCTGTATAGTTTATGCGTCGCTTTACTTATTGCTACCTGTAGTTTATGCGTCGCTTTTCTTCTTGCTACCTGTATAGTTTATACGTCGCTTTACTTATTGCTACCTGTATAGTTGATGAGTCGTTTTACTTATTGCTACCTGTATAATTTATGCGTCGCTTTACTTATTGCTACCTGTATAGTTTATGCGTCGCCTTACTTATTGCTACCTGTAGTTTCTGCGTCGCTTTACTTATTGCTACCTGTAGTTTATGCGTCGCTTTTCTTATTGCTACCTGTATAGTTTATGCGTCGCTTTACTTATTGCTACCCGTATAGTTTATGCGTCGCCTTACTTATTGCTACCTGTAGTTTATGCGTCGCTTTACTTATTGCTACCTGTAGTTTATGCGTCGCTTTTCTTATTGCTACCTGTATAGTTTATACGTCGCTTTACTTATTGCTACCTGTATAGTTGATGAGTCGTTTTATTTATTGCTACCTGTATAATTAATGCGTCGCTTTACTTATTGCTACCTGTATAGTTTATGCGTCGCTTTACTTATTGCTACCTGTAGTTTATACGTCGCATGCATCGTATTCGCTGTCGGTATATTTATAGTGCAGGTGAATTATAAGGTGTACAACATGTTTCAGGTAAATCTATCTTTCTCGATGCTTCATCAAAACGCATTTGTGATAAGAACCGATTTTATAGGAGAGATGAAAAATTGTTACTGTTCAATATTATGTTCTTTAAATATTAATAATAAATATTAAGTTATTATGGTTAATTGCCCTCGTCTCAATGACTGTTGCTATAGTATATGTTTCCTCAGTGACACGTTTCTTTCGTACAACTGCACCAAACATCTTTGTGGATGTGCCGCGTTGTGTAAACCCTGGCGCTTTTCCTGGACAATTTTTGCGGTCGACCCCCCCCCCTACCCCCCTGTATACTGTAGATACATTTCGCCTACTCAGTACACGTAGTCAATTCCAACTTTAAAGTTAGTGTGGGCGCCTACTTTTAAATGATAATGCGCATGTTCACCTCGACGCGAAGTGTATGCCCAGTAGATACAACAGAAAAGAAACGAAATCTGATGTGTCAGTCGAGCTACCGGCAGACATAAAACAGAAAAGAAACTAAATCTGATGTGTCAGTCGAGCTACCGGCAGACATAAAACAAATAACACGATTATGACACCAGTTTACATTGTACTTAAAAAAATAGGTATATATTTAGAAACGATCAAGTTTGGCACTACTAAATGCATGTGTAATAAGGCTAATTATCTGATAGTAAAAAGTGTTTCAATTTTCGTGAAGATTTCAAAGATAACTATGATGCTTTCAACAAGGCCGATTTAACCCCAGCGTTGGCGTATTAATGCAAGGTTAACTAAGTTTTACCAGGTTTGTTGTGACAATCTGTATCCATGTTCACATCGTATGTAATTGATCCCAAATATTGGTGGGACGATAAATATCAATTAAAATAATGATCTTTATCGTGTAAATTTAAATGATTCCCCATCGTGTGCTTGTAGCTACCCCTGTGAAAACTCCTACCATTTTTTGATGAATGTCCACTTTGTAGTAACATAAGAAATGACATGTTGATTAAGTTGCGTCGGTATCATCCATTACCTCTAGATACGCTTTTGCATGGAAATGTTGATCTAACATTAGATGAAAACCAAACTATTTTTGAAACGTTCAAATATTTATTCGTGCAAGTAATCGATTTTGAATATAGTCTTGAAGAACATGTGAACTTATCGTTTAGTCTATCCTTTCATTCCTTCTCTTTCTATATAACAAACCCAATCCTATCACTATCTTTTCTGAACCACAATGCCATAAGTATTTTTTGTAATATGAACTATAAACAAAACAATGTCTTTTTCTTTTCTGCCTGTACAACAGAGCAAGGTTATTAGGAACGACATTTACATGAACAATTTGATCAGAGGAAGTAGCCGGAGTGTGTAGCTAGTATGTGCCAGGCAGACATATTACACATTACTATACATTATGTTATATGATAAGAAATGATATATGATATCCTAGTGATTTCCCTGCACTTTCAACCTGTTTCTTCTTTCCTTTTTCTGATTTCCAAATTAGTTTTATGGTATAAAATGTACATATATAAATATTGTCGTTAAGTAAGGGTTGATTTTCTACGCGAGATACTGTCCAAGTTTGAAGAGTTCGAGTACAAAACACAGTAGTTGATTTCTCACAATTGTGGCCTATTTCATTGTGCGCGCTACCTTGTAGACAATGCGCGTAATTGTATTTGTCTGAAAAGAATGTAGTTTAATTTTTGATTCTTTGATTTTGACAAATCATTGCTGTTTCAATTTCCTATTTCTTCTTCAAATATGAGTTAGAATTTAATAAATGGAACAGCTAATAGCAGGTATCGTTCAGCTATCTCCAATGTTTTGATTATAACGTCACAATTATAAGGCGTTCCAATGATCACTTTATGGTCTACTACAATTATCACACATGTGAAGTTTAAGGATATTATAATGACAATGCAGAGAATAGGCTAAAATCCCATCACAAATTCACACTCAGACATGTTGAATTTAACCAGGATTTGTATTTTGTCCTTGCACACCAATGCAACTTTTTGAGGGAAATGTATTTTTTTAATTATAATTGACAGTGTCGATTTTTTCTCTGAAGTAACTTGAATACGTGTTAATCAAGTTATTTTGCATATTTCACACCAGTGTACGGACGGAAATGTTCGTTGAAGATCAACTATGACTGTATCTGTTCTGTTCAATGCTTCACCTCATTTTACTATTTATGTGCCGTACTTTTGTATGAGACTGAAAACTGTTAATAATAATTATTATTGTACATTCCAGCCCCACCGAAAGCACCGCCGTTGCCGGAAGTAAAAATGGAAGCGAAACAGATTATCCCTTTCCTGACGCACGACAAGGATGAAATCATTAAGAAATCACAAAGGTTATTCATACACTCCAAACTAACAAAACTAACGCTTATATATTACTCTTACATAGGTCTGTTAGTCGGCACTTAAATTTACCTTTTCGATATATTCTGTGCTTTCTGTAAATATCCGTACTTACTTGCATGAAACATCTCAACTGTCGAAATTTCCTTAAATCTAAATTTTCCCAAATACAATACATTGCTTGAGATTTTCCTTAGCCTTGAGATGTTTTATTCAAGTGGCCCCTGGTCATATACATGTACTGTACTTATCAATAAAGTGCTAGTGTTGAGGTAACGTCGTAGTGAGATGATCCTGAAATGATATATTAATCGAGACGACGTTAAGATCAACATAAAACATAGTCACCAAACTAAAAGCCCTTCGTTGTTGTTTTAAATATGCAACTATGCTGATGTTGTATCATTTAGCAAGATGGAACGTAAGACATTCGCCAAGAGAAAAGTGCTGCATTTGCAAGCGAGCATTATGCCGTTACAATTAAAGTCATATCATACAGAAATATTGATCTGCTCTTTCTGAAAATAGTAGCACTTGATATATGATGCAATGACCTTGTCTTGGCGAACAGGCGTTTGGGAACTGCAAACCTTATCTAATATTGCCCTCTGTCTCATCCAGGTGGCCCTACATCGTTGACCAGACGGGGGTTGTTGCCAGGTTACTTCAGTACAGTGATATTAACGTTCTTGAGGTCATGATGTCTGATCAGATGGAACCCGAGAGGATACGAATGGCATTATTAGGATCGCTCAAGTAATTGTGAATAATGATGCACGCCATCAGTCATGATCTCCGATTAGAAACAACCTGAGAGGATATTCGATGCAAGCGTATGCTTCTATAATGTCCAACGGTTTACATGCAGAAGCCTCTCCTATACATTCTTATTTCCAGAGAAAAAAATATCTAGGAATTATGTTTATGAAAGGATACGAACATTTTCCTAAATCAAACTGAATATATAATTAAAAAAATATAACTTTAATCAGACTTGAATATAAAATCTATTGAAATTCGTCATCGGAATTATAGAGAAACACAAAATAACTATACTATACACAATTGCATGTCAGAGTTCGTGACATATGATTAAGTAATTGACTAATGTAATATGGTCATAACCTACAGCTTTGTGTGACGAGTGATTGCATCAACTGTGACGACATCATTTCTATTTTTAGGTTTGGGAAACCTCTCGTTATTGACATGGGAGATGACATCAACTGTAATGACATAATTTCTACTTTTAGGTTTGGGAAACCTCTCGTTATTGACATGGGGGATCTAGATATGTTTACAGCCATTAATGAATTCCTGAATCGGATTCTCCCAGACCTCACTGACTTAGTGATGACGAAGAAAGTGATGGAGGAGAAATGGTATTTATGACGTCACGTTTATTGTTTTGAGAAATTAATTATATTGAATTAATTGTGTTTAAAAGTTCCCTTACATATATACAACATTTGATGTAGCGCCCTATCTAGCTAAAATAAGTCACTATAATGCGCTTTAAAGTACATAGATATACAACTAATATAATTAGCATATACATTAATCAATACAAATTTTGAGGAATTTGCAGGAGCTGCCTTATCAGGCGCTAATTACTGGTCCTATGCCACCTGACTAATATCTCCATATGTGTGTATGCCTGCGTGTGTGCTGAAGATGTAATGTGAGATACATGCTGATATTAACTAAAAAGATAAAGAATAGGAAAAATTATAATCAAAACCCGAACTTATTTCGATTATATTGAAGTTTATCTATATTTTTGTTTTTATTTCTAGTATTGATCAGCTAATAAAGCCGACTGACGACCAGGATAACAAGAACAGCATGTTGTACAAAGCAGATTCCTTTCGCTTTGGTCTTATAACGTCGAAGGAAATGGTGTCAGATGAAATGAAATCTAGGATGCTTGTGGTCAGGGTTGAATGAGTGACGTCACAGGAATACGTATTGTTGTTTAAAAAGCAATCGGTTCGCTGTAAATTCTGTGGAACACTGTTTCTAAGATGTATCGACATCTTGTATGGGGTATCGACGAAAGAACTGAATTATTGTACGAACATTGTAATCGTACGGAATTTGTTGTCAATTATTTTTTTTTATTTTTTTTATCAAATTATTAAGCTGTTTTTATCTTGTTTTCATTTACAATTTGAATAAAAGTACAAACTGCAGATATGTCGAATTATTCAGAATTGAATTTTCAAAAACCGAATGACATTCTCCATTGATATACATATACACACCAATTAACAATAATGGTGGGCGTTCTGCTGCTCTAATTAGTAGTTTGTAACCTATTTCTGAATTCCAATTCTGTATAAGCTCACCTGGTACGATATATTGTAACCCTAGGTCTCCGTGTTGAAGGCTATTCATTTGAACACAGAGTTGATAGCAATCCACTCAAAATACTACATTGTATAGGCCATATGTAATCACAGAGGCCACTTTTTTTTTTTTTTTTTCAAAATTAAAATGTTCAAATGTTTTAACAAATATAACTGCTATGACCTTGAATACGGGTCAAGATGATTAGGTTGAACAAATCTGAAATCTTTTCAACCCTGCATTCTACTAGTTAAACTCGTGACAAGCAATATTTCTAAATTCAGAACGCTAAATGTGTTTTCCCGGAATAGTTAATCAGTAAGTGTTATCTCCCCTTTGCTGTCATAGTGGAGATATTGGTTTTTGGGCATAATCATCTAACCCGTCTTAATGCCATACTGAAGTGTATTTCGTCCGTGTCTGTCTGTTCGTCTGGGGTCACCATTTTCTTAATAACCAATGGGTGTTCATGTTATACATTCATATTGTTAAGTATTTTGGGGGCCATAAAATTAAAGACAAAACTAATTTGAGGAGGGATGGTTCAAGTACAAGACGGTTTGGGCGAAACATATATCACCATATTGGTACGAGTGTCCAATGGCTTGGTTTGTTCGTGTTTTACGTCCTTTTAACAGCTATGATCATTTAAGGGCCTGTCAGGTTTTGGTGGTGAAGGAAAGCCGGAGTTCCCGGAGAAAAACCACCGACCTACGGCCAGTACCTGACGATTGCTCCACGGTGGTCTCGGACCCGCGTCCCAGTGGTGGAGAGCTAGTGGTAGCAGAATGTCAGACGCCTTAACCACTCGGCCACCGCGACCACCCAGGATTGTCCAATGACTGAACCAAAAAAAGTATAACTTTATAGTTTCCATATTCGAATCGAACCTTGATACACTTTTTCACGAAGCATGGTACATGTACGTAGATTGTGGAACAGTCAGCAGCTGTGTTCAAAGGTGAATATGTTTCGTATTTATTTTACAAACAACTGTATGCTTTGTTTTCAAACGTTTGAAAACGAAAGGGATGCAATTGTTTTATTGTTTCACAATTAAGAAAATAAATTTTAAGTAATTTCCTTTACCCCATTTGAAGCTCCTCCAAAAACCTTCTTTCGATCATCCATCGGGTTAGCCCGAGTTTCCTCGCGCCCGTGGTAACTCGGGCTACTATCAGATAAGAGAAAATCTTGAAGTGTAAGGTTCCATAAACCAGCCTTACAATGTATAGACAAGTAGTCTTAATTGTCCTTTGGTCATCAATTTTAATCAAAAGGGCAAAATAAGGTACACAATAAGGTACACAATAAGGTACGGTACACAATATGGTACACAATAAGGTACACAATAAGGTACGGTACACAATACGGTACACAATATGGTACACAATAATGTACACAATAAGGTACACAATAAGGTACACAATAAGGTACGGTACACAATAAGGTACACAATAAGGTACGGTACGCAATACGGTACACAATAAGGTACACAATAAGGTACACAATAAGATACACAATAAGGTACACAATACGGTACACAATAAGGAACATAATAAGGTACACAATCAGGTACACAATAAGGTACGGAACACAATACGGTACACAATAAGGTACACAATACGGTACACAATAGGGTACATCATAAGGTACACAATAAGGTACGGTACAAAATACGGTACACAATAAGGTACACAATACGTTACACAATACGGTTCACAATAAGATACACAATACGGTACACAATAAGGTACATAATAAGGTACACAATAAGGTACGGTACACAATAAGGTACACAATAAGGTACGGTACACAATACGGTACACAATAAGGTACGGTACACAATATGGTACACAATAAGGTACACAATACAGTACACAATACTGTACACAATAAGGTACCCAATAATGTACACAATAAGGTATACAATAAGGTACACAATAAGGTACACAATACGGTACACAATAAGGTACATAATAAGGTACCCAATAAGGTACGGTACACAATACGGTACACAATAAGGTACACAATACGGTACACAATAAGGTACACAGTACGGTACACAATAAGGTACACAATAAGGTACACAATAAGGTACACAATAAGGTACGGTACACAATAAGGTACACAATACGTTACACAATAAGGTACACAATAGGAACTTCTTTTGTTTATACCATTCAAAATTAAATACAGTTTTAAGTAAAATATTTCACTGCATTCGAAGCCAAAAATCATACTTTCGATCAAGTATTTGCGCTAGCTTTTTCGTGAGTATTACAACAAGACATCGATGCACCAATTAGAAAATTAAAGAGAAAATCTGGACATAAAGGGGCCCAAAACTATCGCTTATAGACATCCACTCTTAATTAAAGGACTGGATCTTGCCATTGTCGTTTTCATTGCGTGATGAACTAAGCTGGTCTTGAAGAGATGAACGTAAGACACATATATATGGTTGCACAAAAACAATATAATTAAAATTTAATACATCTACCAAGTCCATGGATCAGTAACTATAATTAAAAGGGAATGATGATGTAAAATAATAACAATGGAAAAGAGAAGAAATGGTAATGAGGTAAAACACATACAAAGGGACATTTTTAAATACATTTAAATCAGTGAACTGGACATTATTTATCAGACTTCTGTATTCTGATTGTTCTGCAACAGGACTTCCCAATAAAGAACGATTCATGCGCATACAGTGTTAACTGCTTAGATGTTGAGTGTATTTTCATTCCTGAAATTGGAAAAGGCCTTTTTTAGATTCACAATTCTAAAAAAAATCCATCTTTCTTAAACTTCTCAAACTAGAAAAACGTACAACCAAAGGACGGGTTATTTAAAACGTACAACCAAAGGACGGGTTATTTAAACGTACCACCAAAGGACGGGTTATTTAAACGTACAACCAAAGGAGGGTTATTTAAACGTACTACCAAAGGACGGGTTATTTAAACGTACAACCAAAGGACGGGTTATTTCAACGTACTACCAAAGGACGGGTTATTTAAACGTACAACCAAAGGACGGGTTATTTAAACGTACTACCAAAGGACGGGTTATTTTAACGTACTACCAAAGGACGGGTTATTTAAACGTACAACCAAAGGACGGGTTATTTAAACGTACAACCAAAGGACGGGCTATTTTAAAACTGCAAGGTCCTCGGTTCAAGTCTTTATGTTGTTCGCATCTGCATAAATATTCCGATGACTTTTTAAAATGGCCTTTTAAAAGGTATGTTATAGAAAGGGCTCCAAAAGTTGGTCTTTCTGAACCCTTTTTGGGGCTTTACTTAACCTGTTATAATCAATTATCATGATAGCTAGAACGAGATCCAACGAGCCACTGCTTCGCATATAAGCATCTACCTTTCAATGTAACAGATCACGAGGAAGGCAGTCAACGGCCTTAGACAGTCAGGTCCGCGAGACAGTCAGGTCCACGAGACATCCACGTGACAGTCAGGTCCGCGAGACAGTCAGGTCAACGAGACAGTCAGGTCGAGACAGGCAGGTCCACGAGACATCCACGAGACAGTCAGGCCCACGTGACATCCACGAGACAGTCAGGTCCGGGAGACAGTCAGGTCCACGAGACATCTACGAGACAGTCAGGTCCACGAGACATCCAAGAGACAGTCAGGGCCACGAGACAGTCAGGTCCACGAGACATCCGCGAGACAGTCAGGTCCACGAGACATCCAAGAGACAGTCAGGGCCACGAGACAGTCAGGTCCACGAGACAGTCAGGGCCACGAGACAGTCAGGTCCACGAGACATCCACCAGACAGTCAGGTCCGCGAGACAGTCAGGGCCACGAGACATCCACGAGACAGTCAGGTCCGCGAGACAGGCAGGTCCACGAGACATCCACGAGACAGTCAGGCCCACGTGACATCCACGAGACAGTCAGGTCCGGGAGACAGTCAGGTCCACGAGACAGTCAGGGCCACGAGACATCCACGAGGCAGTCAGGGCCACGAGACATCCACGAGACAGTCAGGTCCGCGAGGCAGTCAGGTCATCGAGACATCCACGAGACAGTCAGGTCCACGTGACATCCACGAGACAGTCAGGTCCGCGAGACAGTCAGGTCCACGAGGCATCCACGAGACAGTCAGGTCCACGAGACAGTATTATACCCCCGTCGGTATTTTACTACATTTACACTGATCTGAAAGCTAAAACTGGTTCATCGACTGCTAAATAATGTTTTGGCGAGTTGGCTATAAAGGTGTTTCGAAGAGTTTGATTATATTTGGTAAAATTGTTGTGGGTCTACAGTTCTTTTCATAGATGTCATCCTTCTTTTTAAATATAGGAACAACTTGTGTCTCCTTCAGCCGATTTGAAAATTCATTTAAATCGGAAATGATATTGTGTTTAATGGTGTTACTACACGCCTAAATATTTACACTGAGTACTGATATATTCTTTATCATTTAGACGGGTGACAGATTTAAAACAGTCTTATTTATCTGAAATGATCGTGCAATCAATGGTGTACAAAATACCACCAGCCACATGTATATGCTAATAGATTTTGGCCAAGATTTTTTACGTTTTATAAAAATAAGCGAAACCTGTATTATACTTAAAATAAAAATCGAATCAACCATTAACGCGCGTTCACACCTCTGACTGGTCATGTAACACCAAAGCCATTTTCCTTAAGAGTTCTGTCTGCGCTGTTTTCTCATTTGGACAGGAAAGGTCTGATGGGGTAATATATCGTTAGATGTTAAAATAATAGTTCCTTACGGACTGTTTCTCTGTAAGTGGCTAACTATCTATATTGTCTATCACTTTTCCAGTTTTGAGATGTTAAAGTTACTAAACAGCTTTTATTAGCTGTATTTAGCATTTTTTAGATTTCCATTGAAACAAGTCATTCCACACGTGATAAGGTTTTTTTTCAAAGGGGCATGATCACTATTAATCACTGTCTAGACTTCTTTATTATCTCCATACCCGGCGTCCATGGCCTTGATTTGCACCTATCAATAAACCAATAATAATTTCATTAAGGTCATTAAAATTTTGGAACATTTAAAGTCCCTGCATTCAATAAATTATTGACATTTCAAGTAATGATAGACAATATCGCAATAAAACCCACAAATGCAAACAGAGCTATCGACATTATTGACCCTTGGAACTCAAGTATGTCTAACTGGGTATATATGTATGTTTAATGTTCTTCCACGACTCCCAAAATAAATGGAAGATTTAGCATTTCCTCTTTGAGAAATAGATTTAGATCGTTTAAAGTTCAAAAGTGACTGACGACCGTATGTTAGGGAATATCTAGCATTTTGGTCTACCATTTTCTGATGAACCTTATTAAAGAAATCGCGAGGGTCCTTCATCTTGGACAATACCCTCCGTATCATCGTTTCCCTGTCTTAAAGCTTTCTAAATCAAAATCGAAATATAGTTACACATAAGTCTACATTTGTGTGATAATGATATGATCATTTAAATACTGGGGTAACTTATAATACAAGTAAACCCAGAAAGTAGAATGATGACTTTAAATTTGTTTTTGTAGATTTTATAACTGAACAACGCCAGTGTATCAATAACCTTGTTGAAGAATTACGTAATCACACAAAAGATGACGATAGTGGTAATTTTATCAACTCTATCATTAATGATATGTTTGAACTATTTATAAATGGTGCCAAATATGCATTTGGAACTAACCACGCTAAGCTAAATTCTGTAAAAAACATGCTTTTAAATTAAAAAAAACCTTGGTTTACGAGAGACTGTAAGTCTGCTCGCCATAATTATAGAAAAGCGAAACGGTATTACAAAAAGTTTGGTAATGCTTACCTCAAAGAGGAAATGTATGTTAAGGAACGGTTGTATAAAAAAAACACTTAATCGTTGTGTCATTAAGCATAAGTTAGAGATTAAAAATAAACTCCGGACACTAAGGTCAAGAAATCCAAAAGAATACTGGAAAATGATTAATGCAGGTAGTTCCAAAAAAAGAACTTGTAAGGCTGGTATTGAAGATTTTTTTAAACTTTTTTTTAATTTATGATTTATCTTTGACCGATCTCTTTGAAACTTAGTATACATTATAATCATGATATGAAGTTGTGCCTCCCTGAAAATAATTTCGATTCGACGATTATTGCAAAAGTTATTGCCCTTTGTTCATTTCAGTATTTGATTTTTTGTCCGGAGATTTTTTATAGCATGTCTGCTTACCACTCTTAGAATGATGCAGATCTTATTTATTATTATTATAAATATTCATGTCGCCCTTACGGGCGACTTTCTATTAATCTGTCACCCAAAATGCATTCATATCGACTGTATACTGCATCTGGTAACATTTCAATCCTTAAATATAACATTGATATTGTTTTTATCAAAATTTTATTCTAATTGATTTTTTGTATTCGTAAGCATTGTTTTGACTCGGTTTCTTGATACTTTGCTCAAAAAATGTATTTTACATAGGAGTGATACTAGTATAAAACACAGATAAAGCAATATCAGTACTTTTTTGAGTGGCGTGACTATAATATATGTACCAACATGTAAATAGCCACAACTGCAAAGTCTGAAATCGATTTTATTATCATCTAGTACTTATATCTCATTTTTCTTTAATACTGTTTTTGTATAGTATTTATGATCTATTCAAATAGATCATAAATACCATACAAAAACCGTTCAATACTTATATTTATGCTTTCTCTGTCTCTTATGTTCTTTTTTAACTTACAATTTATATTCAAAATTTAAAATTCCCGCCTTATCGACAGTCCACACCAATTCGTTCAATAGTTGGAACAGCGTGCTGTCGCGTGGTGATTGGTAAACAAAGTCGTACTTTGAAATTTTAACAGACACTTCAATTTTATTCCACAATTCAGTATCAATACAATTGCGTATGATATGTCTATAGGGTGATTTAAGTTAATCAATAGAACTCTGAGCTAAAAGTTAGATTTGAAATTGTTTCGATTTTTCCCTGGAACAAATTTCGCGCATGGCTAAATACAATGAACACCGTAAATCTGACCTTGTCCTCCACGAGAGGGTTATTTTTGGAAATTAATTCGAACTTTTCTCTTTGATCCTTTTGTGAAGAATCCAGACGTGAATTTATTTGTTGATTGTATGGGAATCTGACTACAGTCGACTCGGTAGATTTTATAACAGCATCGTTATTTGACATGTCGTCAGAAACTGAGGAAACTGTGGCTGCGAGACGCGTGAAACTGATATCGTTTGAAGTGAGTGATCTTGCGACGGAGCACAGGGGTTCGTTACAAATGTCTGAACTGTTTATATGTGTTGTGACTCATATCAGTTGGTCTGTAACATATGTGTCAGTAGGTCTATAGAATATGTGTATTTCAGACATTTGTAACGAGCCCCTGTTGATCAGTGCAATGAAACAGACGATGGTTCTAATAAATTGCATGAGTGTTAAAATTGTTTCCATTGCCGGCTTTGATGATTTCAACCGATGTGCATTTTGTACGATATTGCAGACCTTGGTCTTGTTTTTGTTGTAATAAAAGCCTTTTTCTTTTGCACATAAATTTACAATGCCATTGTCAAGTCTCACAATGCCCAGCGATATTTCAGCAGCCGTCATGTTTATTTACATTGAATATTGTGGTTCCGGTCAGTTTTGTATTAATACGCTAAGAATTGTGTCTCGTGCTGCATGGTAATGAAAGTCCCATCAACGACACAGCGTTCAAAGAGGCTATATAGTGACAATGCCATGCAAATGTAAATATGTATACATTTTTGTACATGAATGGTTTTGTCAAGACAGTGTTTTTTTCTACTTCATATTATTAGAACTAAAATACATGTTTTAAAGATTTTAAATAATATATATATCTTTTTCATTTATTTCCTCACTTTAATGAAAATAAAAGAAATATACATGCAAAATGCAGTAAATGATTTTAAAATCTTGTAAATGTTCGTGGGTTTTTCGATTCATTTTCCCCTGGGAAATAGTACTAAACGTCTTTAAAGATCCAGATGAATACACGTAACACTTTATTATACCCCGTGGCTTCAGTACTTGTATTGTCATTGAAGGTCCTCACACCATTTAAACCCCGTGTGTTTACACACGTGGGCCCATAGTTACGGGTAAACACATTGTGTGGTCAGCCTACTCGTAATGATTGGTCAGTCCGGCAAAACCCACTTACACCTTCCCTAATTTACGTATAGAGTCATCCGAAAATAGCCGTTAATTAAATCAATAAGATATCAACCTTTAGTTAAAGCGATCGAACATTCTCCTCAGTTCTAGTCTTTCGAACGGAAAACCCCTTGTACCTAAATTACTCAGGACCGATCGTCCATGTTCAGGTAAACACAGATCCTCACATGTATATACACGTATATAATGTAATGCTGTTAACCCCTTCAAAACATGTGTGGTCAGTAACAAGGACGCAATGGGAAGTCACTCGGGAAATACCACAAAATAAACCGATAGTTGGCATTCGGCAGGGAGATTCATTTGAAGGGAAAACCTAATACCGTTAGTATTAATTGTATATGGAGTAGGTTTGTCCAGATCAGACGACACTCGGGATACTACACACATTCACGGAGCAGACGACACCCGGGATACTACACACAATGCCTCCGAAGAAATCGCCTGCAACGAAAACGGCAGCGAAGCCTGCAACTAAAACTGCCGGTGGGGCGAAGTCAACGGGGGGAGCCAAGGGCGCGGGGGCAGCCAAGGGGACAGGGGGAGCGAAGGCCCCACCCCAGGCCAAGCCAACTGAAGGTAGATATGATGATGACAGGACCTATTTCTGTATGTCACTTTGGTAGTCTGTAGTTTATAAACATTGAAAATTAACACTGCTCTAAATTAATGAATAAAATAATTTCTATATAAATTGTTACTTTGATAATATACAATTATATGTGTCCACTTTATCATTTTTCTTTGTATTTTGTCATTTTTACCATTGTATACTTTGTATACATGTATATATTGTAAATATATATGAATATATCGTCTCTATACGTATTAATGAAGAAATGGAATTATTTAATTACATTAATTATAAAGTGCGGTGAATTAAGCAAACGGATTTTTTTATAATCGAATTGACAATTGAGTCTTTTCAACTGAAACACTGAGAAATAAGCGTTAACACACTACTTGGTTAATATGCACGTTATCAACGTTATTCTGCTTAATATAAACGATAGTAGTCTACGTCACTGGCCCCAGTTTGTCTAAATATGTAACATTTAAAAATCCGACACCAAAATCGATAAGCGCGGTGGTATCTCTACATAAACGAGGCATAAATCAATATATTCTGGTCGCGAGATTTCATCTGCTATGGAAGTAACTTCGCAATGTCTTATAAACGTAAATCATTTGTTTGTCTAACACGACATTTCTTCTCGGAAGGGAAGCCAAGTTATGCAGTTTTACGTTAATAGGAATGGGAATATATTTAAAACAACTTGGATTGATCACATTAAAAAGTGGGGTCAGGGTTTCTCAAACACCAACGTTATATCATGTTTTAAATTTTGAAATTATATATACCCCAGACCTAAAATGGTTTAAGGTAATAGGATTCGGTCACCATTTCTCAGTCGAATTTCGTTTAAATTTTGTTGTTGTATTGCTTTGAAGTAAAAAAAGGTTCTGCCCCCAAAAAATATAGGTGTCAGAATTTTAAGGATTTTAAGTGGAAATTTATGTAAAAAGGAGTGATTTTTGAAAAACAAGACACATTTTTTTGCAAAATAATGTCAATAAAAATGATACTGACATAGATTATTAGTATTGCATTAATGTAAATCAACTTAAAAAATGAATTATTTTACGCATTATATAGAAGATGGATTCCATCTTATATTAAAGAGTCCTTTTTTTTTGAGAAAGAAATGCTACAAAACTATTTTAATCGAAGCTCAAGTGTGTTAAATTTATCGGATATATTGTTGACAAATAATGATACGAAAGATAAAGTAAATCTTGCGAAGTTTTTAAGCCAGTAAGTAAATGACAAATGCTCTGAAATGATGCTATGTACCCCTCACACTGTTTGTCATTCCGTCAGTGTAATTTGTGTGTATATCTATTTACCCCTTCACACCGTTTGTTATTCCGTCAGTGTAATTTGTGTGTATATCTATGTAACCCCTCACACTGTTTGTCATTCCGTCAGTGTAATTTGTGTGTAAATCTATGTACCCCCTCACACTGTTTGTCATTCCGTCAGTGTACTTTGTGTTTATCTATGTACCCCCTCACACTGTTTGTCATTCCGTCAGTGTAATTTGTGTTTATCTATGTACCCCCTCACACTGTTTGTCATTCTGTCAGTGTAATTTGTGTGTATATATATGTACCCCCTCACGCTGTTTGTCATTTCGTCATTGTAATTTGTGTGTATATCTATTTACCCCCTCACTCTGTTTGTCATTCCGTCAGGGTAATTTGTGTGTATATATATGTACCCCCTCACACTGTTTGTCATTTCGTCATTGTAATTTGTGTGTATATCTATTTTTCCCTTCACACTGTTTGTCATTCCGTCAGTGTAATTTGTGTTTATCTATGTACCCCCTCACACTGTTTGTCATTCAGTCATTGTAATTTGTGTGTATATCTATTTACCCCTTCACACTGTTTGTCCTTCCGTCAGGGAAATTTGTGTGTATATCTATTTACCCCTTCACACTGTTTGTCCTTCCGTCAGGGTAATTTGTGTGTATATCTATTTACCCCCTCACTCTGTTTGTCATTCCGTCAGGGTAATTTGTGTGTATAGCTATTTACCCCTTCACACTGTTTGTCCTTCCGTAAGGGTAATTTGTGTGTATATCTATTTACCCCTTCACACTGTGTGTCATTCCGTCAGGGTAATTTGTGTGTATATCTATGTACCCCCTCACGCTGTTTGTCATTCCGTCAGGGTAATTTGTGTGTATAGCTATTTACCCCTTCACACTGTTTATCCTTCCGTCAGGGTAATTTGTGTGTATATCTATTTTCCCCCCCTCACACTGTTTGTCATTCCGTCAGTGTAGTTTGTGTGTATATCTATGTACCCCCTCACACTGTTTTTCATTCCGTCAGTGTAATTTGTGTGTATATCTATTTTCCCCCTCACACTGTTTGTCATTCCGTCAGGGTAATTTGCGTGTATATCTATTTACCCCCTCACATTGTTTGTCATCCCCTCAGTGTAATTTGTGTGTATATCTATATACCCCCTCACAGTGTTTGTCATTCTGTCAGTGTAATTTGTGTGTATATATATGTACCCCCTCACGCTGTTTGTCATTTCGTCATTGTAATTTGTGTGTATATCTATTTTTCCCTTCACACTGTTTGTCATTCCGTCAGTGTAATTTGTGTGTACATCTATGTACCCCCTCACACTGTTTGTCATTCCGTCGGTGTAATTTGTGGGTAAATCTATGTACCCCCCTCACACTGTTTGTCATTCCGTCAGTGTAATTTGTGTTTATCTATGTACCCCCTCACACTGTTTGTCATTTCGTCATTGTAATTTGTGTGTATATCTATTTTTCCCTTCACACTGTTTGTCATTCCGTCAGTGTAATTTGTGTTTATCTATGTACCCCCTCACACTGTTTGTCATTCCGTCGGTGTAATTTGTGGGTAAATCTATGTACCCCCCTCACACTGTTTGTCATTCCGTCAGTGTAATTTGTGTGTATGTCTATGTACCCCCCTCACACTGTTTGTCATTCCGTCAGTGTAGTTTGTGTGTATATCTATGTACCCCCTCACACTGTTTTTCATTCCGTCAGTGTAATTTGTGTGTATATCTATATACCCCCTCACAGTGTTTGTCATTCTGTCAGTGTAATTTGTGTGTATATCTATGTACCCCCTCACGCTGTTTGTCATTCCGTCAGGGTAATTTGTGTGTATATATATGTACCCCCTCACACTGTTTGTCATTTCGTCATTGTAATTTGTGTGTATATCTATTTACCCCTTCACACTGTTTGTCATTCCGTCAGTGTAATTTGTGTTTATCTATGTACCCCCTCACACTGTTTGTCATTCCGCCAGTGTAATTTGTGTGTATAGCTATTTACCCCTTCTCACTGTTTGTCCTTCCGTCAGGGTAATTTGTGTGTATATCTATTTACCCCTTCACACTGTTTGTCATTCCGTCAGTGTAATTTGTGTTTATCTATGTACCCCCTCACACTGTTTGTCATTCTGTCATTGTAATTTGTGTGTATATCTATTTACCCCCTCACACTGTTTGTCATCCCCTCAGTGTAATTTGTGTGTATATCTATATACCCCCTCACACTGTTTGTCGTTCTGTCAGTGTAATTTGTGTGTATATCTATTTACCCCTTCACACTGTGTGTCATTCCGTCAGGGTAATTTGTGTGTATATCTATGTACCCCCTCACGCTGTTTGTCATTCCGTCAGGGTAATTTGTGTGTATAGCTATTTACCCCTTCACACTGTTTGTCCTTCCATCAGGGTAATTTGTGTGTATATCTATTTACCCCCTCACACTGTTTGTCATCCCGTCAGTGTAATTTGTGTGTATATCTATATACCCCCTCACAGTGTTTGTCATTCTGTCAGTGTAATTTGTGTGTATATCTATGTACCCCCTCACGCTGTTTGTCATTCCGTCAGGGTAATTTGTGTGTATATCTATTTACCCCCTCACATTGTTTGTCATTCCGTCAGTGTAATTTGTGTGTATATCTATGTACCCCCCTCACACTGTTTGTCATTCCGTCAGTGTAATTTGTGTGTATAGCTATTTACCCCTTCACACTGTTTGTCCTTCCGTCAGGGTAATTTGTGTGTATATCTATTTACCCCTTCACACTGTTTGTCATTCCGTCAGTGTAATTTGTGTGTATATCTATGTACTCCCTCTCACTGTTTGTCATTCCGTCAGTGTAATTTGTGTGTATATCTATGTACCCCCTCTCACTGTTTGTCATTCCGTCAGTGTAATTTGTGTATATTTTTATTTCTTGTTTGCACGGTATGGCGAACTGATGAGCTTTAAACTTCAAAGTAATAGAGAACTTGAACTGTAATGTGTCAATATTAAGATAAATATACAAAGTTGTATTACACCACTGACTTAGATAGCATCTAATTCCGTGATAAGTGAGGACGCCATATTTGCTTTTGTCAATTTGACGCTTAGCAGCCCTCTTCAAATAGCTTCATTAGTGACTAGCTCTGAATCAATCGCTTATTAAGTAACTATGCTTATAACAGCGCCGTTCCGCCAATATAGTTTCAATGACAATTTACAAACAAAAATGCGTTAAGTTTGATGACTGATGATGGCATTTTAAGAATGTAAAAATACGGCAATGCGAGTAATAGTGAATGATGGCATGACTTTTCAGATACACAATGTACATAGTACAGTTTTTTCCTATTCGGGCTTTATATAATAAACGACATATATATATGGAAAAGCTCGCGTGTCGAACGCGCGTGTTTCTGACCGCAGTGTGGAAATTGGTTCTGAAATCTAAGGTATCTACATGTACCTATCCGCATATGCATTATTTTGCCGCTAATTAACTCAACGCGAAAAACGAAAAAAAAACAAAACCAAGTGGTCCTTCTCGGTGTACTCGTGTGTAAAACTGTTATTGAGTGTAATTTATTTTTTATTTTTCCAGAGCCACCAAAACCGAAGGCGTTACCAGAAATAGAAATGGGCGTGAAAAGTATTCCGGAATTTCTACTCGAAGATGTTGGAGAGGTCATTAAAAAGTCCCCAAGGTGATTAATCGCTGTTTTAACATGGCGTTGGAGATATTTTCCAAAGAGGCATCTTAATGCCAAAATGTTACGATCTCGATACCACAGGGACATGCGAATTTGTTACAGCTATAGTGAGACAAAAACTAAGGTGTTTAGAGTAATTTTATATGTTTGGGGGATTCAGATCAACATTGCGGTTAAATTTTTACCGAAAATTGATGTAAACTCCCCAAACGTGTACACTTAGACTAAACACCTTAGTTTAGGTCCAAATATAGCTGTAACAAAGGAACACGTCCCTGTGCTCGATACACCTATTTTCTCTACTCCATAAGAATTTATCATGACAAAATCGAATTCTCGCAGTATGCTAGTTGATTGGTCTTGGGTATAATAACCTGACCAATCGCAGGCTGATACATGCTTTGGGGGTTACAGAGGAGCTACACCAAACATGAAAGCCTGTCGATTCTACCGTTACGCTGTAGCGTGTTTCCTGGGGTCTTCACTAAAGACATCAGACGAGTCTCATGTACATTCACTTTTGTCATGACATATAACAGGTGCAGAAAAGTTGTAAGTGAATCGCGAGCAACGAAGATGCAAAAAGAGATGTTAAATGTCGATTCGGCTACGACATCGATTTCCGTGGACAAGTCGTACATAAACCTTTGTGTATATACGTCTCACTGGTCATTTGTCTGATGAAGATGACAGAGTACATACCGTAATAGTCATCGAAGCGTCAAATATAAACAATTATTGGTTGTGCTATATGAGTCTTTTTACATTCCATATTTACAAACCTGGAGAAAAATGATTAGAAAGATGTTGAGACGATGGATGTAACATATTTCAAGCATACACTCACGTGCCTTTGACATTAAATCTAATATAATGGCATAGAACATTTGATAAAGCGCCCTATCTAGCTAACATAAGCCACTCTAAAGCGCTTTACAGTACATAAATATACGATTTTAGAGCTTTTCTTTATGGTGGTCGAACCGTTCCTTTCATTAATGATTTAAGCATAGCTGCTTAAGATAAAGTAGTCACTATCATTTTCTTTGTCAATGTCTTACAAAAGACCACGTAGGCCGACAGCTGGAGTCGTTCAGGCTTCTTTCCGAAAACAAACTATCATCTGTGCCTTCTTTCGTTGTCACTTCTCCGGGTCTTAATTTGAAGTCATGACATTATTTGAATTGGACCCAAGATTTACAAGGTGGCTGTCGCTGATTAAGCAGAAGACGCTTTCCCTCCCGGAACACCTGGTCTGATATCATTTTACTTTTTCAAATGACTCGTTGTCAACTTTCCTTCGTTCATATTTTGCCCGATGGTTTAAGCTTGAATTAAGGTTTTTGTTCACACTAAGTTATTCTGTTGTTATTTTTGATAGCGTATTTTAGTATATAAAGATGTTTTATCAATGTATGGGTCGAAAGGCTTAAAATGATCAAATGATAAAATTGACCTGCAGGTGGCCTTACATTGTGAATCCTTCGGGAGTCCTCAGTACTTTTGTCAAGTACCGAAATATCAACGTTCTCAGAGTTATGGACCAGCATGAGATGGAAGCCGAGATGATCCGAAAGGGATTATTAGGGGCGCTCAGGTAATTACTAGATTATTAGGGGTGCTCAAGTATTTATTATCAGGGATTATAAGGTAAGCTCAGTTAATTATAACCAATATTAACAGTAGCGATTTCGTGATCTGAAAAAAAGAAAAATAGTTCATTATGAAATTTTGTTCACATCAAAGAAAAGTTTCGATCTTTTTTCCAAATATATATATATAACAATAACCTTTACATAAAAGTTTTCTTTGTAAAATAAAATATAAATGTTAAAGACCATATGACCCGAGGAATGTTTAGCTGTTCTAAACAATGCGTTTGTAGCTGTCCTAAACAATGTGTTTGTGGCTGTCCTAAACAATGCGTTTGTGGCTGTCCTAAACAATGCGTTTGTGGCTGTCCTAAACAATGCGTTTGTGGCTGTCCTAAACAATGCGTTTGTAGCTGTCCTAAACAATGCGTTTGTAAGCGACCATTTCAGTGTAATGAAAATTATCATCGCATTCGTTTTGATGATCATCCATATTTTTTCAGATATGGCAAACCATTTCTAATTGACATGGAGGACAATGATTTATTTACCCCGATGACGGAATTTCTTGACAGAGTAATTCCAGGCCTGACCGACATGCTGCTTACAAAGAAAATAACGGAGGAGGAAAAGTACATATACATTATTTCTATTTGATAGACTAATATAATGTTACATCGGTTTGGTTCGTGGACAGGGAAATCTCAACCCGAGGGTAAGAGTTTGGCTGTCTAGCACGAGGATTTTTACACGAGGGTTGAGATTTCCCTGTCAACAGACCAGACCCATGTTTGATTCTTGCCTAGGTCAATACACCGGGACCTTAATATACTTGTATTTCATGACGCGCATGAATACAATTATGTTAATTCTATAGGGGTGATGGATCCTGAACATAAAATCAGAGATCCATTTAAAGCACAAAGTTAACAATATCTCTATTTAATAATCCAACTCTTTTAATATATCTTATAATAAGTACAAAAAAAATATGAAAATTTAACAGTCAAAGCAACGTAACTATTTTCAACGCCGACGTCATTCGGCGGACTTGCCTGGCGGCAATAATTCCATTAGTTGTTGTGACGTCAGAGCGCGTGTAGGCTGTCTTTCCCAGGTTTATCTTTTCACGGCTCAATTCCTGTCTTTCACGGGAAAGTTTGGGGGAAAATAATATCCATTGGTCATCAGCTTAGCGTTAACACATTGTAGGCAAGGAAGAAAGACCACTGAAAAGGTGTTGGTTACATAATCAAATTATCAAAGCGTACACTTTATATTTATCGTAGAAGCCGAATTTGTTGTCAATGACGTCATTTAGCTGTGACGTCGAAATTGGACCTCTATACCTGCTTAATGACACGTCATAGAGTGTCACATTTTGACCATTTTGACCTATAGATGAACGGCAGTCATGTCTAAGTTGCAATAAGATGTGACGTCATAGTCTATATAATTAAAAGATTGTTGTTCGTGCATGATATCATAGCAGATATGAGCAAATCTTGATGTTACTCTTAATTACGTATGACGTCACAGTAGATACCAACACCATTTGTTTATTACGTCACAATATCCTGAATTAATGATCAATTTGATTTCCTATTTGAACCGATAAATAATCTAGTGATAAAATTTCAGCGGCGTTTTTACAAAATAATGTTAACACGTAATTTTTTTTTATATATTTCAAATAATCCTGTAAGTTTGAACCATTTATTACAAACGATGAGTTCTAGTAAAATGAAAAGAACGGGAAAAGGAATTCCGAGTACACGGGGAAAACAAAACTATTGAATAGCCTCAAGTACAGCCTGGAACACTGTTATAAAGTTCAAATTGTAGAACTCTAGCATGACTTATGTTGAATACATTGTAACATTGTAAATAATTGTTAATTTTTAATTTCTTCACAGTATTGATAAGCTCATCCGGAAAAACGATGACGAGGATTACCAGAGGAGCATAACTTACCAGACAGACAATTTTAGATTCGCCATTCTCACTAAAAAAATAGAGGTGTCGGATGAAGTCAAATCGAAAATGTTCATTGTCAGAGCCGATTGAGTGACGTCAATGGACTGACGTAATTGTAGCTATTCACCTTACATTGAACTATACCTAATTTTATTATTTTATCATATTATTCCCGACAAGCGATTGGCCAGAAGTGCATCACGTGTCACCGTCCAGCTTCGGATTTTTTTTTTTTTTTTTTCCATATTGCTAACATCACTGTTTTGAAAATAATAAACCAATTGTAGCCTCTAACTTCGGTCGATACCTGGATTTATCGACCCGAGAAAAGATATATTGACCTCGGACTGCGTCCTCGGCTAATATATCTTTTCTCGGGTTGGTAAATCCAGATATCGACCTCAGCCAAAGGCTATAATTGAATGTTGTCATAGAAGAAGGAGAGAGAGTGTTATTGTTCGAACAGGGTTCAAGTCACAAGAATATGATTATATATTTTATTATTTCGTTGAATAAAATTTATCATTTCATAAATGTTTCGAGAATGAATTACCATCAATGGTGTCAGAAAAATTCAGAACGAGAAAATTTTATCGTTCAAAAAACGATGGAACGATTTGATTAGAATTCAATTTTTACCAATCAAATCGCATGGAAAACGCTACAAGAGTGCTGCAAAAAAGAAGGTGCAATACAAATAAACATGGATTAAGGGTGTACGTGTCTTTAATCTGCATACCTTATCTCCTGCCAAGGAGAGTTCTTCGAAGGATTTTGATATTTGAACAATAACGATAATACACACATGATCAAATCCATAGAATAGAAGGTATTTAGATGATGTTGACTAAATTTGCCTATTATCGAGGGAGACCATTAACAAATAATTATAGGTAAAAATGGGTCAAATAGCATACACCCTTAACTTGAATATGATGTTAACGCAAACCGACACCACAAAGTAACAAATATAATCGTGTCAGTATCTATACAGGCCCAGATATAATCGT